GTAGTAGTAGTAGTAGTAGTAGTAGTAGTAGTAGTAGTAGTAGTAGTAGTAGTAGTAGTAGTAGTAGTAGCAGTAGTAGTAGTAGTAGTAGTAGTAGTAGTAGTAGTAAGTAGTAGTAGTAGTAGTAGTAGTAGTAGTAGTAGTAGTAGTAGTAGTAGTTAGTAGTAGTAGTAGTAGTAGTAGTAGTAGCAGTAGTAGTAGTAGTAGTAGTAGTAGTAGTAGTAGTAGTAGTAGTAGTAGTAGTAGTAGTAGCAGTAGTAGTAGTAGCGGTAGTAGTAGTAACGGTAGTAGTAGTAACAGTAGTAGTTGTAGTAATAGTAGTAATAGTAACAGTAGTAGTAAGTAGTAGTAGTAGTAATAGTAGTAGCAGTAGTAGTAGCAGTAGTAGTAATAGTAGTAGTAGTGGTAGTAGTAGTAGTAGTATATTAGTATTAGACTTGCTGCATTAATAAGACAATGTTTAAGTAGTAGTAGTAGTAGTAGTAGTAGTAGTAGTAGTAGTAGTAGTAGTAGTAGTAGTAGTAGTAGTAATAGTCTAATAGTAGTAATATAACAATGTTCAAATCTGTACATAGCCCTATAATAATTCAACACATTTTGTACAGTAAAAAGTATAGAATTTAGTTAGTAGTAGCAGTAGTAGTAGGCCTAGTAGTAGTAGTAGTAGTAGTTAATAGTATAAATATTACACTATACATATTAAATGAGCAGAATAATATACGTTCTTCCTATTACCCTGCTCTATTTAACACATAATTGAGTGTATAATGTATTGAACAGTATCAGTGTGTTTCTGTGTGTATAATGGACCACAGTGTCTCCTCGGTGTCCCGTGTCTCCTCCGTGTGTCCTGTACAGGGGACATCAGAGCTCCAGTGAATGGGCCCTTTGTCCAGAACCACCCCAGGCCCCTCACTCCTCCTCTGGGCTAAGATCCACCGGCCGCTCCCTCTCAGCAAGCTCCTGTCTCCAACCAACCACCCACCACCCCCACTGCAGCCAACCGCCCTGACCGCCTCACGTTTACATGCAAACACAGACGATAAGGCGGCGTTCAAGAACTCGAGCAACAGACCAGACCCATGACAGCGCAATATGTTAATAATACAAATGGCTGCAGATGAATGAATATTGTTAAAAATGCAGATTTGTGTTGTGCTGCAGTGAGTTTAAAGCCTCATTCATCAGCCGGTTTCACTTCGTGGAAACCGTCTGACCTCGCAGCATTAGGATTCGTTTGCTCGACGGTAGGCGGGTACTTTTTTTTTAACCAATCACTCCTGTTTGGTCGTGACGTATGTAATGTGCCAAATCCCGTAGGGAGAAGGGCAATAATGTCTTTCTTTTCACCGTGTTTGTATTGAAACATGTGCCAAGATGAGGGCCGCAGAGAAGTATGGAGCGTGAGATTGACAGGTGGATCGGTGCAGCGTCGGCAGTGATGTGGTCGCTGTATCGGACCGTTGTGGTGAAGAGGGAGCTGAGTCAAAAGGTGAAGCTCTTTGATTTACTGGTCAGTCTTCGTTCCTACCCTCACCTATGGTCATGAGCTCTGGGTAATGACCGAAAGAACAAGACCGCGGATACAAGCGGTCGAAATGAATTTCCTTCGCAGGGTGGCTGGGCGCTCCCTTAGAGATAAGGTGAGGAGCTCAGTCACATGGGAGGAGCTCAGAGTAGAGCCGTAGCTCCTCCACTTCGAGATGAGCAGCTGAGACTCGGGCATCTGTTTCGGATGCCTCCTGGGCGCCTTCCTCAGGAGGTGTTCCGGACATTTCTCACCAGAAGGAGGCCCTGGGGAAGACTAAAGACACACTGGAGGGACTATGTCTCTATTCTGGCCTGGGAACGACTCGGGGTTCCCCTGGAGGAGCTGGAGGACATGTCTGGGGGGAAAGAAGTCTGGGAGTCCCTGCTCAGACTGCTGCCCCCACAACCTGGCCCCAGATAAGCGGAAGAAAATGGATGGATGGAGAGCCACAGATCTGCGGTTAATACAAAGGGTCAAATTAGTGAACTCAACCTTTCTATAACAGAGCCCAACATCTTGAATACGGCTTGGAATGTTCATTTTAGGTTTGTATTATAATGTAATTTAGTGGTCTGAGTCTGGGCGCCAACAGAAATTGGTCTGAGGGCCAAATTTGGACCCCGGGTCGTAGTTTGGACGTCAGTGATGCTACAATACAGCATAATTTAGTAAATAGTCAAATTTTTATACAGCACTTTTCCACCTTCAAGATACTCAAAGTTCTTTGAGTAAAAAAAAAAAGGAGCCACTCACACATTCATACACCATTGTACACAGACACTGGGGGTGAGGTAGGTTAAGTGTCTTGCCCAAGGACACAACAACAGTATTCATCTGTGGGAGCTGGAATCAAACTGCCAACCTGTGGATCTGTGGATCTGACCACTCAACCATTTTTTAATATCTAGAGCAGGATTCGACCGCCAAGTTTCAGATCAGTGGACAAATGCTTTTACCAACTGAGCTCCTGTTATTACGGATAAAATAAACAAAAATAAAAAATACACCAACTAAAACAATAGAACTGTTAAAATTGAAATTTAAAAAATAAATAGATATAAAAGGCCTAATAAAGAAATTAATAATAACTTAAATATTATATTGTGTTTACTGTACTTTATGCCTGCACTAATATTATTACTCTTACCGTGTGTTAAAGTTGACACAGTGGGTGTTATTGGGTGGGTGCTTTTAGACACTATTAGGCACTTTTAATATATTTATATAAACTTGTGGTGATGCTCTAATGTAATTTCTTTGTGCTTTTATATGACAATGGCAATAAAGGAATTTAATCTATCTTGAACTGAATCACTTGAATTGGTGTCTTCACATGGATTTATTATTAATTTAGTTTTTTTTTTTTTTTTTTTAATAAGGTCAGGTTGACGTTTAGTTTTCAGGAGCAAATCTCTCAATTTCTCTCATTCTCTCTCTCTTTCTCTAGTCATCTTTCTCTCTCATTTTATCTTCCTCTGGTTCTCTCTCTCTCTCTCTCTCTCTCCATCTCTCCTTGTCTTTCTCTTTTTCTCTCTCTACATTTCTCTCTTTCACTCTTTCTCCCTTTCTCTCATTATCTCTCTCTTTCTCTCTCCATCTCTGTCTTCATCTCTCTCGTTCCCTCTCTCTGTCCTCTCTCTCTCTCTCATATCTCATCTCTCTCTCTCCTTCCTTCTCTCTGTCTCTCCGTCTCTCTCCCTTTTTCTTCTCTCTCTCTCTCACCATCTCTCCTTGTCTTTTTCTCTCTCTTCCTCTCATTCTCTCTCTCTCCATTTCTTTCTCTCTCTCTTGTCTCTCTCTACATTTCTCTCTTTCTCTCTCTCTCTCCATCTCTCTCTTCATCTCTATCTCATTCCCATTCTCTGTCCTTCTTTCTCTCTCCATTTCTCATCTCTCTCTCTCACTCCCTCTCTCTCATCATATTTCATCTCTCTCTCTTCTTCCATCTCTCTGTTTCTCCGTCTCTCTGCCTTTCTCTTCTCTCTCTGTCACTGTCTCTCTTTTATCTCCATCTCTCTATTGCTCTCTTTCTCTCCATCTCTCATTCTCTCTCTCTTCCCCATCGCTCCTTGTCTTTCTTTCTTTATCTCTCTTCCTCTCATTCTCTCTCTCTCTTTCTCTCTCCATTTCTGTCTCTTTTTTGCTCTCTCTACATTTTTCTCTTTCCCTCTTTCTTTCTCTCATTATCTCTCTCTCTCTCTCTCATTTTCTCTTCCTCTCGTTTACTCTCTCCCTCCCGCTCTCTCCATATTTCATCTCTCTCTCTCCTTCCATCTCTCTGTCTCTCTGTCTTTCTCCTTTCTCTCTGTCACTCTCGCCATGTCTCGCCCTTTCCCTTCTCTCTCTTTGACACTCTCTCTCTTTCTCTCTCTCTCTCTCTCTTTTTTATCTCCATCTCTCTCTCTCTCTCTATCTCTTTTTCTTTTTATCTCCATATCTCTTTCTCTCTCTCTCTCTCTCTTTTTTTATCTCCATCTCTCTCTCTCTCTCTCTCTCTCTCTTTTATCTCCATCTCTCTTTCTCTGTCTGTCTTTTTATCTCCATCTCTCTATTGCTGTCTTTCTCTCTCTTTTTCTTTTTATCTCTATCTCTCATTGCTCTCTTTCTCTCAATCTCTTTTTTTTTATCTCCATCTCTCTATTGCTCTCTTTCTCTCTGTTTTTCTTTTTATCTACATCTCTCTTTCTCTCTCTTTTTTTATCTCCATCTCTCTATTGCTCTCTTTCTCTCTATCTGTTTTTCTTTTTATCTACATCTCTCTCTTTCTCTCCCTCTCTTTATCTCCATCTCTCTTTCTCTCTATCTCTTTTTCTTTTTATCTCCATCTCTCTATTGCTCTCTTTCTCTCTATCTGTTTTTCTTTTTATCTACATCTCTCTCTTTCTCTCCCTCTCTTTATCTCCATCTCTCTTTCTCTCTATCTCTCTCTCTTTTTATCTCCATCTCTCTATTGCTCTCTTTCTCTCCATCTCTCGTTCTCTTTCTCTGCTCTTTCTGAACCCTCACTGATCTAGTTGCGTTTTATTTTATTTTTAATTATTTTTTTATTTATATTTTTTGAGTAATAAGGCAATTTCAAATAGATTACTTTTATTACTTTTATTTTTTATTTTATTTTTTTATTGTATTTGTATTGTATTGTATTGTATTTTATTGTATTTATTTATTGTATTGTATTGTATTGTATTGTATTGTATTTTATTTTATTATTTTATTTTATTTTATTTATTTTATTTTATTTATTTTCTCATTAAATAGCCTATCACATTTTTCATATTCAAAATAACCCAAACGTGTCCATGTCAGTAACAGTTCCCTCTTTTGCTCGTTGTTTACTTTATTCAAATCGCTTTGGCCACGCGGAAACCAAACATCCTCATTAGCTTTTCGTGGCACTCCGGTTGCCCTGGTAACGGCCCGGCATTCCGTCACGCCGCCGCCGCCGCCTCGTGCGTCGGTGGGCGGGGCTCGCTGGCCGCAGGTGTTTTAAAAAGCGTCAGGTGAGCGCGCACGGTATCCAGTCCGGGTCCTCCAGCGGTCTGCGGGTCTCTCCTCTGCTCCACACGGCGACAGGTGCGTACCGAAGCGGCTACGTACACGCTGGCCCCCCGCGCCGATCCACTACGAGCTGTTTTAAAGACTTTATTTCGCTCCAACGCTTAACTTTTAGCCAGCATTTCTGCACACGCGTTTTTACTTCCGTCTATTTTAGCCTTGTAACCAAAGAATGCGGTCTATTATGTCTTTTTCACGGAAGGAGCTATCTTTGTTTTGTATTTTATTTAAAGGAAATAGCTCTACTTTACTAACACGCTAGTATTTGAATGCAGCGTTACGTAAAACTGCAATTTTTCAACATATTTCTTGTAATTTTAGGTTGATTGTGAACCTTGTATTCATTCAGAAAATGTGTAATAATATAACGTAACATATATACTATTAAAAATGGATAGGCAATGCGTGTTTTGGGAGATTTTGCATATTCAATGACAATGCAATAATAATAATAATAGCCTCATAACCAGACTAGCCTGTTTCATTCGGTTGTTTATTTAAGTGTAATAATCCTATTGTAAAGGTGAACGTCTTTGTTTCCTTTGCAAAATATCCCACTTAAAACCTGCTAATCCCTAAATTTATATAAATAACAATGTTCCAAATTACACAGGATTTTATATTTTAGTTTAGCAGTGAATATTCTAGTTTTCTCTCAAATGTAAATAATAAAAAACGCTCTTTATTTAGTCAATAGAGTAAGATTTTCAGCGTTAAATTGTACTTTTTTTATGTTCCCATTTGGTTTTATATCTGTGTAATCCCTCAGTGGTCCAGGTCTAAACCAGGTCCAAACCAGGTCTAAACCAGGTCTAAACCAGGTTAAACCACCAGGTCCAAACCAGGTAAACCAGGTCAAACCAGGTCTAAACCAGGTCTAAACCAGGTCAAACCAGGTCAGGTCCAAACCAGGTCTAAACCAGGTCTAAACCAGGTCTAAACCAGGTCCAAACCAGGTCCAAACCAGGTCCAAACAGGTCCAAACCAGGTCCAAACCAGGTCTAAACCAGGTCCAAACCAGGTCCAAAGCAGGTCTAAACCAGTTCTAAACCAGGTCCAAACCAGGTCTAAACCAGGTCCAAACCAGGTCCAAACCAGGTCTAAACCAGGTCTAAACCAGGTCTAAACCAGGTCCAAACCAGGTCTAAACCAGGTCCAAACCAGGTCCAAACTAGGTCCAAACCAGGTCTAAACCAGTTCTAAAGCAGGTCCAAACCAGGTCCAAACCAGGTCCATACCAGGTCCAAACCAGGTCAAAACCACCAGGTCTCCAGGTCTAAACCAGGTCTAAACCAGGTCTAAACCAGGTCCAGACCAGGTCTAAACCAGGTCCCGACCAGTTCTAAACCAGGTCCAAACCAGGTCTAAACCAGTCTAACCAACCAGGTCCAAACCAGGTCTAAACCAGGTCAAACCAGACCAGGTCCAGGTCTAAACCAGGTCCAAAACCAGGTCTAAACCAGGTCTAAACCAGGTCTAAACCAGGTCCAAACCAGGTCCAAACCAGGTCCATGGCTCTAATTTCGTTTTAGTATCGATTCGTTTCTAATTTTCGATACTTTTGACAAATCAGTGTACTACAGCTGTGGGCTGTTGTAGTACTATTACTGTGTAAATAGTACTAGTACTATTTACTTTAAAGTACAAACCTTCACGATTCAAAGTGGGTGTGAAGTTTATAGTTTTGTGTCGTCTAGAAGTGCAGTAAAATAAGGGCAGGATGACATTTACATTTCAGGGACAAATCTCTCCATTCTCTCTCTCTCTCTCTCTCTCTCTTTCTCTCTCTCTCTCTCTCTCCCCCCATCTCTCTTTGTCTCTTGCTCTTTCTCTCCCCTTTTCTCTCTTGCTCTCTCTCATCTCTCTTCCTTCCGTTTTCTTTCTCTCTGTCCATCTCTCCTCTCTCTCTTGCACTCTCTCCAGCTCTCTTTTTCTCTCCCCCTCTCTTTCTACCTATTTCTCTCTTTCTCTCTTTTCTCTCTCTCACACCCTCTCTCCATCTCTCTTTCTCTCCCCATCTCTCTCTCTCTGTCTCTCTCTTTCTCTTTTCATCTCTCTCTCCATCCCCGTCTCTCTCTCTCTCTCTCTCTCTCTCATCTCACTCAATCTCATTCTCTCTCTCCCTCTGTCTCTCTCCATCTGTCCTCTCTTTTGCACTCTCTCTTGCTCTCTCTTCATCTCTCATTTTCTCTCTCCCTTTCTTTCCCTCTCTCTCTTTCTCTCTCCCCCTCTCTTTCTACCCATTTCTCTCTCTTTCTCTCTTTTTCTCTCTCTCACACTCTCTCTCCATCTCATTCTCTCCCCATCTCATTCTCTCTCTCTCTCTCTTTTCATCTCTCTCTCTCCATGCCCCTCTCTCTGTCTCTCTCTCTCTCCATCCCTAAGTCTCTCTCTTTTTCTCTCTCTCTCTCTTTTTTCTTTCCATTCCTCTCTTTCTCCCTTTGTCTCCCTCTCTTTCCATCTCTCTCTCTGTTTCTCTCTCCCCCTCTCTTTCCATCTCTCTCTCCCTCTCTCATCTCACTCTATCTCATTCTCTCTCTCCCCCTGTCTCTTTCCATCTCTCCTCTCTCTTTTTCTCTCTCTCTTTCTCTCTCTCTCTCTCTCTCTCTCTTTCTCTCCCTCTTCTCCTTCTCTCTCTCTCTCTTTCTCCTTCAGTTCTTTCTGAAAGTCTGTGTGATCTGGTTTTCTCTCTCTCTTTCTTTCTCTCCCTCTTTCTCTCCTCTCTCTTTCTCTCTCTCTCTTTCTCCTTCAGTTCTTTCTGAAGTCTGTGTGATCTGGTTTTCTCTCTCTCTCTTTCTCTCCCTCCTTCTCCCTCCCTCTCTCTTTCTCTCTCTCTCTCTCTTTTCTCCTTCAGTTCTTTCTGAAGTCTGTGTGATCTGGTTTTCTCTCTCTCTCTCTCTTCTCTCTCCTCTTTCTCTCCTCCCTCTCTTTCTCTCTCTCTCTCTTTCTCCTTCAGTTCTTTCTGAAGTCTGTGTGATCTGGTTTTCTCTCTCTCTCTTTCTCTCTCCTCCTCTCTCCTCCCTCTCTTTCTCTCTCTCTCTCTTTCTCCTTCAATTCTTTCTGAAAGTCTGTGTGATCTGGTTTCTCTCTCTCTCTCTCTCTTCTCTTCTCTCTCTCTCTCCCTCTCTCTCTTCTCCCTCTCTCTCTCTCTCTCTTTCTCTTCAGTTCTTTCTGAAGTCTGTGTGATCTGGTTTTCTCTCTCTCTCTTTCTCTCCCTCCCTCTCTTTCTCTCTCTCTCTCTCTTTCTCCTTCGGTTCTTTTTTCTGTGTCGTGTGTGATCTTGTGTCGTTCTTAAAGGTTCCTTTGTTCGTGTTTCAGTTTTTTTTTGGCGGTGATCATGATGAAAGCGGCGCTGTCCCTGCTCCTGCTCCTGCTCTCCCTGTCCTTCGCTCTGGGCAAGTACGTCCCCAAAACGGGCAAGAGGATCCCCCAGACCCTGTCCAGAGGTACCACCACCCAAACACTCTTACACTCCAAAAACTTTTAAAAAACGTGGGTAGAGTAAACGAAAACTACTCAAGTAAAGAGTTAAAATACATAAAATAATATTAAGTAAAAAAGACAAAGATTTATAATTGAAAATGGATGTAATTGGGAGGACAAAATCTTAAAAGTGCACTACGTAACTTTTTGGTTAGACTTTCCGCCAGAAAAGTTACACAGTGCAGCTTTAAGAACAGAACTCTCCTCTGACTTTTATCGTAGCGTTTACAAATGTTAGAACGTCTTTCAAACAATCTTGGAAATTTAAAGACCAGTTTTCACTCCTTTTTGAAATGTTGATACTGTTTAAGTTTTGGTTGAGTCGACGCCCCGGCCTTTTAATTCTGTAAAAACAAGAGCTGGGTTAGTCCTAGTTTAGTCCTGGTTTAGTTCTGGTTCAGTCATGGTTCCGTTCTGGTTTAGTCTTGGTTTAGTCCTGGTTTAGTCCTGTTTGGTCCTGGTTTAGTCCTGGGTTAGTCCCGATTCACTCCTGGTTTAGTCCTGGTTTAGATCTGTTTTGGCCCGAGGTTAGTTCTGGTTTAGTCCTGGGTTAGTCCGGGGTTAGTGCTGGTTCAGTCTTAGTTCAGTCCTGGTTTAGCCCTAATCTAGTCCTGGTTGAGTCCTGGTTGAGTCCTAGGTTAATCCTGGGTTAGTCCTGGTTAGTCCTGGCTCAGTCCTGGTTTAGTCCCATTTTAGTCCTGGTTTAGTCCTGATTTAGTCCTGGTTCAGTCCTAGTTTAGTCCTAGTTTAGTCCTGGTTTAGTTCTGTTTACTCCTTGTTTAGTCTTGGGTTAGTTTTGGGTTAGTCCTGGCTCAGTCCTGGTTTAGGTCTGGTTCAGTCCTGGTTTAGTCCTGTTTTAGTCCTGGTTTAGTCCTAGTTCAGTCCTGGTTTAGTCCTGTTTTAGTCCTGGTTTAGATCTGGGTTAGTCCTGGTTCAGTCCATGATCTTTTATCTCTTCTACATAACACATTTCAAGCAGAGGTGTCAGTTTTGCTTCTATTTAGTCTTTAAAAAATCTCTTTCAGCACAGTGTTGTACTTTTATAAACATATTATTACAAACTAAATTAAAATATCAACAATTCTTGAACTAAATGTAAAAAAATATGCTAAAAACTGACTCTTTATTATTGTTATAAACTCTTGTGTTGAAGTAATTTCCCTTGTGGATCAATAAAATCTAAGTTTAAGTCTATGACGTAACATTGATATAAGTGTAATCCTACTAAAATAATATTACTGTAGTTTAAAAATGAGAAAATATACAAATTCTGGATTTATCTGAGCTGTTTAACACGTTTTAAAGATTTCTTGGAAACTTTAAGCCTACGTTTTATTTCTCCCCATTGAAACTAAATCGCCTAATCTCTATTGTCCATTATTACCTGAGCTACATGAGCCTAGTGTTTTTTTGTTTTTCTTTTAAGAGGAGAGAATAGTGCTTTGGTAACGTTATAAGTCTAATCCTTGGTGTGGTCTTGGTTTAGTTCTGGACTCTATTTTATGGTACTTTTAAAGGATATTTTCTGATCTATTGTGTGTTTTAATGTTGTTTCCTCATCACAAACAGACCTGGACTTGTGTTTTTGTTTCATTCACGCACATTTAACACACAAACTCAAAAATTTTTTTTACAACACCCCAAAAAAATTTTAAACACAAATAAATAAATAATAAATAAAACACAAAAAATTAAATAAACTAAAATATAATAATAATAATAAAATAAATAAAATAAATAAATAAATAAAACACAAAAAAAATAAAATAAATAAATAAAAACACATAAAATTAAATAAACTAAAATATAATAATAATAATAAATAATAAAATAAAATAAATAAATAAAAACACAAAAAAAATTTTGGCTGAATAAAATGGAAATAAAACACAAAAAAATGTAAACACAAATAAAAATAAATAAATAAATAAAACACAAAAATAAAATAAAATAAATAATAAATAAAACACAAAAAATAAAATAAAATATAATAATAATAATAATAAAATAAATCAAATAAAAAAATAAATAAAACACAAAAAATTTAGGCTGATTAAAATGGAAAACACTGTCCCACCTTGCTCCACTGCGTTTTTAAACTAAATTCACCTTCACTAGAATCATTTGGATCATTTCTGCTCTGTAATTTCCAATCTCTGCTGAACAAAATGTAAAAAGTAGCTGTTCACTTGGAAACTACTTATCATGATATGCATCTCACGGTACGATATTTATTGCGATATTATGTAGGTAGAGCACTTTTTTGATTTCAAAATCCCTTGACAAGATTTTGGTGTGAATTATTTCCGTCATAATCCCAAGAATTCAAGTAAAAAACATATTTCTTCATATTGACTGCGCTGAAATGAATCATGGGATATGTAGTTTCCGATGTTTCTAAGCTGTTGCTGCTATAAAATCATGCATTTAATCAAAGAAACTTGTAATTCGATATATTGTGAGACTTTTGATTATTGTTACGTCCCTTGAAACTACCACTTCATGACATCACAAAATGGAACGGAGCATTTTGAGCTTTGGAAATATAGACAGACTAATAATAAAGTGTTACTCAAACTACAAAACACAACTCCAGGTCTGTTTTTGAGGAGGAAACAACATTATAACACGTCTTAAATCTCACAAGAGTCAATTTTGTGTAATGTAGGATGTTTAAAGTAATATTGAAGTTAAAAATAAGACTAAAAAGATTCAAAAATACTGGAGTCAAAGTAACTGATGTACGTACTTTTTCAGGATGGGGCGACCAGCTGAGGTGGGCTCAGACGTATGAAGAGGGTCTGTTCTGGTCCAGATCCAGGTGAGGAAAAACAACAGGAAATAAAACAACTCGAATTCAGGATTTTCATCTTGTTTGAGTAGTTTTTTTTTTACTTATTGAAATGTGTTTGACCATTTTTTCTTATCACAAGCAAAACGATTAGGTCAGTCGAATGAGGAAATTGTACTTATTAAAACAGACGTATTGCTCAAAATGGACTTTTCAGAACTTTAAACCGTGTTATAGTTGTTTCTAGGGATGGAACAAGATCTCGTCCCACAAGATCTCGTAAAATTAAACTTGTGAGATTTTTTTCCATTTAGATTTAAGAGCTTGTAAGTTAAATCTCTTAAGAAGCTGTGGTTTCAAAAAGTAGGTCTGCAATTACAAAAAAACAAAAATTCAATACGAAAATGTTGGACCAAAACTGCAAATGATAGATTACGTGAAAATCTCATTTTGTCTCGATCCCTGTGGTCCTAATCTTGAGTCTAGTGTCGTCTTGTCAAAATTGTGTCCCATACCTAGTTGTTTCCTTGTGCCTCCGCTCAATTTCATTTCTCTCCAGCGACTAGGTCAGGAATCGGAATAAACTAAACCAGGCGTGGCAAACTTTTTGACTCATGGGCCACAAAGAGTTCTAAAATTTGAAGGAAGGGCCGGACCAGGAGCAGATGGATGGAGTTGTTTGGTAATCCACCTTAAGACGGGCGTACACTGTGCGATTTTTGACCCTTTTTGAGTCGATTTTTCACTCGTGCGACTGTTTTGGAGATCGGGCTGAGTTTTGGCTTCATCGTGTGTCGTGCTTCGTATAGTAACATGGGGTAAAGAAAACCGATTTATAACTCAAGATCAGCTCCTGATCGGCATTCGTAGGTCACAAGAAAATCAAACTTGTTTGAAATCCAGTCTCCTCTCGTGACGGTTTCACTCTGTTGAAGTCGTTCAATGAGCTGATTTGCCAGAATCTGTCAGACTGAGCATGTGCGGACAGAGAAGCAGAAGCAGGATATGAGGTTGTGGAGGACGATGGCGCCAGTGAGTTTTCTGGACACAGGACATGGAGGCGCAGCTAATCCAGCAACACAGAACACAAGTTTGGTGAAAAACTTGATGCTACTTACCTCCTGTTCCTTCTGAAGAACCAACAACCTGTACTGCCCACGTCTGCCCACGTCTGCCCACGTCTGCCCACGTCTGCCCAGACATTTCTTTGACCAGATTCGTCGCCTCTTCTTTTTGGGCTTGTCTGCTTGTTTTTTGCCTGGATCAGCATTGTGTCTCCGCACATCTGTGGTTTTCTTCTTCGTGGTTTTCTACTTCCGGAAACAACAACTCCGGTCGTTATGTGAACGTACAGTGTGCGCAGGCAGGTCGTATCTGAGCATCAGTTCATTTAGTGTGAGAACATGATTCGTGAGCTGTGAACTTTTAAACCCTGTGATTTGGTCGTACAGTTTAAGCTGGAGCTGAGTGATACGACCGAAAATATCACACAGTGTACGTGCATCATTATAAGAGAAAAAATTAACATGGGATATGTAGAAAACATTTCCCATGTTATTGAAATATCCCATAACTGAAAATCATTACAAAGCATCACAACAAAATATCTGTATTTCTAGTTCCACAGTATTTACTCTTTATTGAAATGACTTTTAAAACACTGAAAATTATTGTTATTGCAAGAACTCCAGAATTTGTAGACCGCGCACCAGCCAATCAGTGAAGAGCTGTGAAGTCATGACGTCAAACTCAAACATCTGTCTGGGTCCCCTGGAACACCACAAAAGCAAACAAAGCGTCGAGATGGATGTAGACGAAGTCATATATTCTGTGTTGGCAACAATTCCCGAGATCGAGGATTTAAAGCCAGAATGAAGAGAATGTTTGGTAAATTTTATCAAGGGGAAAGACGTTATTGTCCTTCTTCCTACGGGATTTGGCGCGTCGCATACGTCACGACCAAATAGCAGTGATTGGTTAAATAAAAAAGTACCCGCCTACCGTCGAGCGAACGAATCCTAATGCTGCGAGGTCACACGGTTTCCACGAAGTGAAACCGGCCGATGAATCAGGCTCGTTGTTTCCCTTAATATTTACCCTCTCGAAGTTGTATTAAAGAGTGATTCATACATCTTATGTTGTAATCTTTATTCTCCGGGATTCAAGACGTCTTTGTTCTGATCCACTCCCCTTTTCTTGCTCTGATTTTTCCTTATACGATTTAATTTTCTTAATTTGTGACACGTGATTCGGCAGCATCGTGTAGTTATTTTGGCACAAATGGAAAAAAAAAAAATCCACTGGTTACTCGCGTCATGTGCAGCTTCCATAATAATAATAACACATTTTATTTATATAGCGCTTTTCAGGACACTCTAAGACACTTTACAGAACACATATTAAAACTAAAAAGAGCAATAAACAGATGATACAGTAAATACAAAAACTGATCATATTCATATTGAGAAAAGTTAAACATTAAAAGCTCTTCTAAATAATATCCATGTTAATTTCATTGTTAATTGGATTTAAACAGTGCCTTTTTGCTTTTTTCATTCACTTCACACTTGGCGTTGGTGAGCTTCGATTGTAGCCACAGCCGCCCTGGGACAAAGAGACAGAAGTGAGGCTGCACATCTGCGACATCGGCCCCTCTGACGACCACCAACACTCACGCACGCACGCTCCACATTCGTACGAGGCAGTGTGGGTGAAGTGTCTTGCCTAATGACACAGACAAACATGAGAAAAATTAAAAACTTATGTGAAGGAGCTGAGCGAGAAACAAAAACGTTCAAATCATATACAGTAATACATGCGTCCTGAATTGCATCTGTTGACAAAGTCGATCTTTTCAAGTCTTTTGAACCATATCGGTTTTGTTTCTGGTTCTGATTATGGTTGATCATTAAGAATTTCATCGATTACGTTTATTTTAATCGACAAACCGAATGCAGGTTGTTGTGCGTAGCGTGACCGAACAGGGTCTGTACATGTGTCTCTGCATCAGAAGGAGCGAGACACAAACAGTGGGTCAGTCTGCAACACGCCGAAGCGCAAATGTGTATTTAACGATGATTTGTACAAGAAATTCCACACTTTCCGTTCCGGTCGGGACAAGTGTGAGTCCATGTACACAGATTACAAAGCAGCACATATGTTTCAGTGTCCAGTGGGAAAAAGTTTTTCCAGGTGAGAGTTGCTCAATGTCGATGACGAGTCCCCACCTCCCTCCCCCCGTACGCTGTCCTGGTTTTGACAAACGCAAATATGGTCACACTAACCTGTATTCCACTGAGTCATGTCTTTTAATCCGACAGAAACTGACCGTATCAGCGACACAAGAGCTGTAGTTTTATCTTTGCTTAGTTTATGCAAATTAGTGATGCGGTTTTAAGTTTCGTTTCTGTGAGAGTTGAACAAAACTGAATTAAACACATTATAATAAACGGGCTGATGTGGCTCTAGAGTCGTTACGGTTTATTTGTCGTAAAGTTGAATTTATTTATGCAGATTAGTGCAGATAGTAATAATAATGATGATCATTTTAATATAAAAACGTTAATGATTAATCGATAATTGATCGTTAATTCTTCTGACGATCGATTAAGAAAATTTCATCGAATGCTCATCCCTAGGTCTGATATTGTCATATTTTAGTTTTGGGATTCGGACATCGTAATTGTGTGGTTGTTGGATCCTAACAGCGGAAAATGGCTCGAGAAACGGGCTTCGGAAGTTTGCGAACTCCATAAATGCAAAAGGGAATCAGATCTGTGCGACTGCAAACCTCCGTCCAAACTGTTTCCCTTCCCAACTGAAATGAAAAATAGTGAAAGGCAAAGGCGAGGTTTGGAGTTCGCAAACTTCCGAAGCCCGTTTCTCGAGACGCTTTCCGCTGTTAGGACATCCAACAACCGCACAATTACGATGTCCGAATCCCAAAACTAAAATATGACAATATCAGAACCAGAAACAAAAGCGACATGGTTCAAAAGACTTGAAAAACATCGGCTTTGACAATAGTGAGAAAGTCAGCAAAAGTCCTTTACGAGATGAGGGGTTTACGAGATCAGGCTTTGACGATCTTTGTGACCGCAGGTTGTGATTTATCGTGATTATGTTTACGTTTCTTTTATTAAGTCGTGTGAAGTGAATATTGTGAGGAAACAGAGGAGACAAGATGACAATTCTGCATAAATATTCAAAACTACAACTTCAAACTACAACTACAACTTCACAAACCCGACACGATGTGCAGTAGTTTCACGTGATCCGTGTTGTTGTGGAAAAATATGTAAGTTTTGTTCTGCTAAAATGTATTTGTGTTTCCAGGAACAAGCCTCTGATGGTGATTTTCCACCTGGAAGGATTGTCCACACAGCCAAGGTAAGAAGAGAAGAGAAGGAGGAGGAGAAGAGGGGAAGAAAGAAGGACGCAGGAAGATACAGGAGGAGAAGAGAGGAAGAGAGAGAGGACAACAAGAGGGGAGGAAAGAGGGCTATAGGAGGAGAGAGTGAAGGAGAAGAATAGGGGAGAAAAGAAGGATTTAAGAGGTGAGAGGAGAGGAGGAAAGAAAGAAGGATGCAGGAGGAGAAAGGAGAAAGAGGAGGAGGGGAGACGAGGAGAAAAAAGAAGGTTACAGGAGAAGAAAGAAGAGGAGAGCGAGGAAATGAGAGAGGAGGAGAAGAATAGGGGAGAAAAGAAGGATACAGGAGATGAGAGAGGGAGAGGGGAAGAAAGGAGAGGGTGGAAGAGAAGAGAGGAGGGCAAGAAGGAAGGAAAAGAGGAGAGAGGAGGGGAATAAGAACGGAGGACAGAAGGATACAGGAGGAGAGGAGGGGGAGAAGAAGGGAGGAGAGAAAGATTCAAGAGGTAAGAGGAGGAGAGGGGAAAAATAGGGAAGGAAAGAGGGATACAGAAAGGGAGGGGAGAAAGGAGCAGAGAGAAAAGAGGGGGAGGAGAGGAGAAGAGAGAGGAGATAAGGGAGTGGTGCTAAGAGAGGAGGAGGAGGGGAAGAATAGGGGAGGAAAGAAGGATACAAGAGGTGAGAGGAGATGAGAGAAGGAGGAACAGAGAGAGGAGGAGAAGAGGGGAGGAAAGAAGGATGCAGGAGGAGAGGAGAAAAGGAAGTGGGGGAGAGGAGGAGAGGAAGGGAGAGAGAAGAAAGGAGGAGAAAGAGGAGGGGAAGAACAGGGGAGGAAAGAAGGATACAGAAAGGGAGGGGAGGAGAGAAAGGAGCAGGAGAGAGAGAAAAGAGGGGGGGAGGAGAGGAGAAGAGAGAGGAGATAAGGGAGTGGGTGCTAAGAGGAGGAGGAGGGGAAGAATAGGGGAGGAAAGAAGGATACAAGAGGTGAGAGGAGATGAGAGAAGGAGGAACAGAGAGAGGAGGAGAAGAGGGGAGGAAAGAAGGATGCAGGAGGAGAGGAGAAAAGGAAGTGGGGGAGAGGAGGAGAGGAAGGAGAGAGAAGAAAGGAGGAGAAAGAGGAGGGGAAGAACAGGGGAGGAAAGAAGGATACAGAAAGGGAGGGGAGGAGAGAAAGGAGCAGGGAGAAGAGAGGGGGAGGAGAGGGCAAGAGAGAGAAGATAAGGAAGTGGTGCTGAGAGAGGAGGAGGAGGAGAGGAGGGGAAGAATAGGGGAGGAAAGAAGGATACAAGAGGAGAGAGGAGGAGAGAGAGGAGATGAGACAAGGAGAGGCGGGAAGGAGATGAGACAAGTCGACAGTTCTCCAGAAATATTCAAAAACACAATACCAAACGTTACGATACACTACAACTTCACAAACCTGGTGCGATGGTGTTGTGATAGCGCTCTGAAGGGGGAGTGACTTAGGCTACGTTCAGACTGCAGCCTGACGTGACCCAAATCCGATTTTGGATTTGTGCTCCTGAAACCGATACATATCTGATCTTTTGACATGTGACTTCAGTCTGAACGGCCAAAGTTTATTCATCCACCTACACGTTATCAACAATCGTCACTATTCTGCGCTGAAGTAGGCAAAAATTGTTAATGAACTCCGTGTCACTGAAGTGAAGCACATCACCACTCACCACTCTTGGCTCCGTCTCCACATCCACACGTTCCTTTCAACGGACGTCGCTGCCGCTGCCCCACAAAACACCACGACCAAAAACCTCGTCCTTCTCCTTTTCAATCTCCTCCTTTAAAACAAGTAAGTTGTTTATGTTCTTGCTCCGGTACGAGAGGAACTTTAAAATCTCCAGGTGCTCGATGCTGCGTCCATGTTTGGACAACTTCTGTAAACACAGAGACGCTCACTGCGGTTGACGTCGTCGTGTCTCCAGTGTCACATGTGGGACACTTTTGGGCCATTTAACGTTCACACTGGAGTCACATACAAGTCACATTTAACTGGAAATGTTTGAACGACCTCGCAAAAACATCGGATTTTCCACAAAAATCCGAATTGAGCTTTAAGCCCTGCAGTCTGAACGTAGCCTTAGTTTTCGGCGAATATAGAATCTTCAAAACCATAAACAGTAACATGAAAATCTAAATATGTGATGCGTTCGCAATTAATACCCCAAAGAAGTGTAATACTCCCTCTTTAAAGTCGCAATGTGTAACTTTTTCTGGGTCCATCAAACGCTTTTCTACATGGAGATGTTATTGTTATGTTTTGTCTGCAATGTTCCACAGTGTGACATTAAACCTTTCTATCTTCATGGAGACCAAACCAGACCAAGTTACAGGTCAGATCTGTGGAGAGGCGACGCCGCTCACAGTCAGAATGTCGTTTTTTCTTGGTATTTTTGAGCTTTAAAACCACCTGTAATAGAATAAATGTAAAAGTAGAGCTGTTTAAAGTCACACTGTGGAACATTCTCAGCAGAGCAGTGACCGAAATAGAATAGAATAGAAAATAGAAAGCGTTTGTCTTGTTTGTAGAGGCACTCCTGCTCTGTTTGCTCAAGTTAAACACGGTTAAATCTTATTTCCGTTTCCTTTATCCTGGTCACTCCCCCTCCTCACACACACACGTTTGTCTTTCAGCTCTCAAGAAGATTTTCTCCGAGGACGACGAGATCCAGAAGATGCTGGACGAGGACTTCATCGTGCTCAACCTCGTGGTCAGTCCTGCTTTCTGTACTGTTTTCTGTATTCGTCACTTCAAAAAGTTTTCCAGTTATTTTCTTCTTAATTTGCAGCGTTCACAACATTCAGGAATATTTATAGTTTCAATTACGCTATTTTCTGATCTGTTATAATGTTATTTCCTCATCACAAACAGATCTGGAGTTGTGTTTTGTTTCATTCACACATGTTTAACTCACAAACTTTATTACAGATTTAGGCTGTGCTCTTCTCTCAAACTGAAAACAATCTGTTCCAACTTGATGTTATGTAGTAATACAGGAAGTATGTGTTTTTAAATTACATACCATGGATCTATAATTAAAAATTGGATAAGCCCCTCCCCCTCCGTCCTGGCTCGATGCCAAATAGTGGCCGCTCCAGGAAGCACAGGGCATTTTTGGGGAATTCAAACCGTCCGTGTTCGGCTGACAGGGCATCAACAACTTTCACAAAGGTTGGGTTTTGTAGGGATTAATTTCTATTTTCACAGCATAAGCTCTTAAAAGTTTTAAAATCCTCAAAGCGTCTAAATGTGAGCTTTGTAAAGCCCCGCTTAGCCCCGCTCTAGCCCGCTCTGGCTCCGCTCTGGCTCCGCTCTGACCCCCGCTCTGGCCCCGCTCTGGCCCCGCTCTGGCCCCGCTCTGGCCCCGCTCTGGCCCCGCTCTGGCTCTCCCCGCTCCTCCGCTCTGGCCCGCTCTGGCTCCCCGCTCTGGCCCGCTCTCCCGCTCTGGCCCCGCTCTGGTCCCGCTCTGGCCCCTCTGGCCCCGCTCTGGCTCTCCCGCTCTGGCCCCTCTCCCGCTCTGGTCCCGCTCTAGCCCCGCTCTAGCCCCGCTCTCGCTCCGCTCTGGCCCCGCTCTGGCCCCGCTCTGGCCCCGCTCTGGCTCTCCGCTCTGGCCCCGCTCTGGCCCGCTCTGGCCCGCTCTCCGCTCTGGCCCGCTCTGGCCCCGCTCTGGCCCGCTCTGGCCCCGCTCTAGGCCCCGCTCTGGCCCCGCTCTGGCCCCGCTCTGGCCCCGCTCTGGCCCCGCTCTCTCTCTGCTCGTTACACAGACGTCACACAGGTGGGAGGAGCTCGCCTGTACTAAGAAAGTAAATACGTAAATGAACATTTTTTTGGGCCCATGCGCCAGTGAGCACAGACCACTGAAAACAATACGACACCATCTTGGATTTATCTTCCAGATTTTATTATAGTTCTATGCTCCGTACACTTTCAGTCAGTGGTGAACCATGGACCTGGACCCTGGGCGATAATTGGATTACAGTTACTTTGTTGAAATAAATGGATTACACAGCGGTATTTTCCTGTTTTCACATTTTGGGCTAAACCAGAACTAAAACCAGAACTAAAACCAGAACTAAAACCAGGTCTAAAAGCAGGATTAAACCAGGACTAAACTAGGACTAAAACAGGTCTAAAAGCAGGACTAAAAGCAGGATTAAACCAGGACTAAACCAGGACTAAAACCAGGTCTAAAAGCAGGATTAAACCAGGACTAAACTAGGACTAAAACCAGGTCTAAAAGCAGGACTAAACCAGGACTAAAACCAGGTCTAAAAGCAGGATTAAACCAGGACTAAACTAGGACTAAACCAGGTCTAAAAGCAGGACTAAACCAGGACTAAACTAGAACTAAAACCAGGACTAAAACCAGGTCTAAAAAGCAGGACTAAACCAGGTCTACTAAACCAGGACTAAACTAGAACTAAAACCAGGACTAAAACCAGGTCTAAAAGCAGGATTATACCAGGACTAAACTAGGACTAAAACAGGTCTAAAAGCAGGACTAAACCAGGATTAAACTAGAACTAAAACCAGGACTAAAACGAGGTCTAAAAGCAGTACTAAACCAGGACTAAACCAGGTCTAAAACCAGGACAAAACCTAGTCTAAACAACATGACACTAACAGTAGGATGGACATAATTTAAAGCAGCAGTGATCTCATATAAAATAATTTCTCTATCAATAATATTTTAATATGGTTAAGGAAAGTCTGGGCTTTTTATTTTCTTTTAGCAGACAAAACTTCTCATGTTCAGATTTCCTCGTCTTTGCTTCTCTACAAGAAACAAAAACCTGTTCAGTGAGACTTGGGCTCAACAGCCAATTTGAAAAGAACAAACAAGAATTTTCAGGATGTGGTTGTTTCATTCATGTAGTTTAAAAAAACATGACAATATCAAGTAATCCAAAGTATTCAAGATTACGTTACTCACTTTAAGTAACTGAATGGATTACGTTACAAACTACATTTTGGGGTATGTAATCTGTAATCTGTAGGAGAATACATTTTAAAAGTCACCTTCCCAACACTGTCCATGGTAGATAGGCAGGTTTAATGCAGTACTCTAAAAAGTTACATAATGCACCTTTAACAGTTACTTTACTTTTCCGTCTGAAGGTTTAAAATATCAAACTAATTCTAATCTTGTTTTTTGTCTTTAACAGTATGAAACTACAGACAAGCATCTCTCCCCTGACGGCCAGTACGTGCCCAGAGTCGTCTTTGTTGGTAAGATTACACCGTTTTCTTCACTTAAAGACGCGAAATCGTCATCAAAACGTGTCTGAAGAGGTTTTCGACATCGTCCGTGCATGTTTGAGTAATTTAGCGATCTCTCCCGGGCCCTTCTCAAACCCTCCTTATGGTCAACTGTGAGATTTTGTACAAGGCTCCGCCCACAAGCCTATGACAAATCTCCATAAATGTAGGCATAAGGGTGAGTTGTTGTACAGTTGTAGGGAGTATTATCTTTTACATAAGGATGAGTTGTACAGTTGTAGGGAGTATTATCTGCTACATAAAGATGCGTTGTACAGTTGTAGGGAGTATTATCTGTTACATAAAGATGCGTTCTACAGTTGTAGGGAGTATTATATTTTATATAAGGACGAGTTGTACAGTTGTAGGGAGTATTATATGCTACATAAGGCTGAGTATTCATACAGTTGTAGGGAGTATTATCTGTTACATAAAGATGAATTGTACAGTTGTACGGAGTATTATACTGTTACATAAGGCTGAGTCATTGCACAGTTGTAGGGAGTATTATCTGTTACATAAAGATGCGTTGTACAGTTGTAGGGAGTATTATATTTTACATAAGGATGAGTTGTACAGTTGTAGGGAGTATTATATGTTACATAAGGCTGAGTCATTGTACAGTTGTAGGGAGTATTATCTTTTACATAAAGATGAATTGTACAGTTGTAGGGAGTATTATACTGTTACATAAGGCTGAGTCATTGCACAGTTGTAGGGAGTATTATCTGTTACATAAGGCTGAGTATTCATACAGTTGTAGGGAGTATTATCTGTTACATAAGGCTGAGTCGTTGTACAGTTGTAGGGAGTATTATCTGTTATATAAAGATGCGTCGTACAGTTGTAGGGAGTATTATCTGTTACATGAGGGTGAGTTGTTGTACAGTTGTAGGGAGTATTATACCCTCAAGCAAAAATATACCGGTACGTACATACATAGTGCACCTTTAAGTGACCGTTTGATGAAAAAGCTGAGAAGAAAAGTACAAAAAGTAAACAAAAAAGTAGCTCTGAGTTCTACAATGTACCTTTACCTTTCTTTAAAAAAAAAAAAAAATAAAAATAAATTCCGTACTTGAAATTCTGGTATGTTCTTCCAGCTACTCCTCTTTGCAAATACCGGTAAACTTTCACGTCTAACCTGTAATGACTTTTTAAAACTCAACAGTGCAGTAAAACTAACTTCTTACCTGCTCCTCCTTTATTTATTCAAGGAGAGAAAGTCTTTAAACAGTCAGTCTTTTATTTGAACTCTGCGCGACTCCGGGCGTGTCAGGGAAATATACGAATGAATGAATTTATTTTAAACACACAAGTCATGTCGCAATCAAAAATAACTTAGACGTACTACTTAGACTTTGACTTTATTTGAGCCACAAGGGAAATTATCTGAACCCAGACGCTCACACGTCACAATATAATATAATAACAAAGAGCAAAAATATAAATAGTAATAATACATTTTAAATAAACTGCAAAAATAACAAGAAACTGGTGTCATATATGGCTTAATTATATAAATGTTTATGTACAAATAAAGTATTATCTGTTATATAAGGGTGAGTTGTAGGGAGTATTATCTATTTCATAATGGTGAGTTGTAGGGAGTATTATCTGTTTCATAAGGGTGAGTTGTAGGGAGTATTATCTGTTACACAAGGGTGAGTTGTAGGGAGTATTATCTATTAGATAAAGGTGAGTTGTAGGGAGTATTATCTGTTTCATAATGGTGAGTTGTAGGGAGTATTATCTGTTACACAAGGGTGAGTTGTAGGGAGTATTATCTATTAGATAAAGGTGAGTTGTAGGGAGTATTATCTGTTACATAAAGGTGAGTTGTAGGGAGTATTATCTGTTACATAAAAGTGAATTGTTGTACAGTTGTAGGGAGTATTATCTGTTACATAAAGATGAGTTGTACAGTTGTAGGGAGTATTATCTGTTGCATAAGAGTGAGTTGTACAGTTGTAGGGAGTATTATCTGTTGTACATAAGAGTGAGTTGTACAGTTGTAGGGAGTATTATCTGTTGCATAAGAGTGAGTTGTACAGTTGTAGGGAGTATTATCTGTTACATAAAGATGAGTTGTACAGTTGTAGGGAGTATTATCTGTTACATAAGAGTGAATTGTTGTACAGTTGTAGGGAGTATTATCTGTTACATAAGAGTGAGTTGTACAGTTGTAGGGAGTATTATCTGTTACATAAAAGTGAGTTGTACAGTTGTAGGGAGTATTATCTGTTACATAAAGATGAGTTGTACAGTTGTAGGGAGTATTATCTGTTACATAAGAGTGAGTTGTACAGTTGTAGGGAGTATTATCTGTTGCATAAGAGTGAGTTGTTGTGCAGTTGGTATGGATGTAGTCCTGTATCTCTCGCTGCTTTTCTCCACGGGGAAAAGCATTAGGCGTACCCTCCACCAGAAAAGTTACACAGTGCGGCTTTAAAACGTACCTCTCCTCTCTCTCTCGCTCCAGATCCCTCCATGACGGTGAGAGCCGACATCATCGGCCGCTACTCAAACCGCATGTACGCCTACGAGCCCAGCGACATCAGAACCTGTAAGTACAACACGAGAACATGACATCACAAGTTGGAACACAGTGTTTTGATGAATGATTGAAAATGAACAAAACACAACTCCGTTTTTTTTTTTTTTTTGATGAGGAAACAACATTAGAACAGAACAGAAAATAACGTAATATGAGCCTTGAGTGTTTTTTTTTGTTTTTTTGAAATTACGTCAGCGGAGTCTAACGTACAAACATTACGAAAAGCGATTCTTGTGTTAGTTTCTCAGTTCAGATTTCAAAAGTCTTTTTGTTAATTCTTTTGGTTTAAAATGTGAACTTTGAACAGAATAGTATTATTAAAACATAAAAATCTAAAATCACAATCTCAGTTTTGGTCAGAAAAATCGCAATTAAATATTTTTCCTATAAACGGTTCAGCTCTGGCTCAAAATATCTCACGTGTTTTAAAGATGTATATAATTTTGTTTATGTAATTGATTCAGGATTATATGATTTTTTTTTTGTTTTTTTAGTGTTTGACAACATGAAGAAGGCCAAGAAGCTCCTCAAGTCTGAGCTATGAGTCGGTCCACGACTTTGGAACAGTCCAGACGTTCTTACAGCGTTCGTTCTACAGCAGATCCACACTGCTGTAAATCCCTCTTCATTTTTTTATTATTGTAAACTGTAACAAAACGAAATGTCCTGAATAAATATACAGTCTTATTTACTACTCAGAGTGTTGTTTTGTTTCTGGTTTGTCAAGGTTAGATAAATTTAATAAAAATAAAGAAAATACAACTTGTTTCAGTGTAATTTGAGGTGGTGGAGTGGCCAAAAATCCTACTCAAGTCAAAATAATATTACTTCAGATTTAGTTAAGTAGAAGTACAAAGTAGTAGTCCTCGAAATTAAGAGTAAAAACCTAATAGGAAAACTACTACTCAAGTAAGAGTAACTTAAACCTTGTAGTTTATCTGCTGGAGGGTCCATCACCTGCTTGTTTCCATGGGGATGTACCAAAAATGTTCCACAGTATGAACAGAAACTTATGAATCTCTATGGAGACTTTCAAGGAAGCAAATTATGGGTTAGATTTGTGGAGAGGCACAAAAAAAGAGTGGATGTTTTTGAGCAATAAATAACACCTGTAGTTGAATAAATGCAAGACAGATTAGTTTAATATCGTCATGTGAAAAATTTTAATGAACCTTTTTTTTTTTTTTTTTAACTTTATTTTTATTAGAGCGTTTTAGTTTTGTATATCACATATTTACATACACAGATTATTAGTATTGTAGAACACAATAAAACATCAGACTGACCAAAAAAGAAAAAAAAGGGAATTAAAAATAAAATAGGAGGCCATCAAGCAAGTGACATCTGCAAAGATATATTAAAAAAATAGGATCATTAGGGTTTGTTTTGATTGTAAGATTTCCAGTTTTTCCATTGCCATTCTCGTTTATCTGAGGAGTGTCTCGAAGAAAATGTTATTCGTTCCATAACCTGAATTTGTTGATTATTTCAGCCCATTCTGAAAGGAGGAGGTTTGTCCCGTAGCCATTTTCGCTTGATCTCCTTCTTGCTTAAACCGAAGTGTTGACATCTCCAGAAAAGTTACACAGTGCACCTTTAAAGAGCAACTGTCCGGACCTGTCTGGATCTGATTTATATTTAAAAGTTTATGTAATTGAAAGAACAAAACATTAAATAATGTACAAAATCTGTCAGTTTGTCAGTGTGTGTCCTGTTCCTCAGACTCATGAGTCCAGGAGAGTTTCTGTAACTTCTCATTTACAAATGAAGCTTTTACTGTGCAAAGAGAGCTTCCCCAGCACAAAGGATTGTGGGAAGTGTGCCAGAGCCCATACAAGGATTTTCCTGTGTGTGTGTGCGTGTGTGGGGTGTGTGTGGGGTGTGTGTGCGTGTGTGTGTGTGTGTATGTGTGTGGGGTGTGTGTGCGTGTGGTGTGTGTGTGTGTGTGTGTGTGTGTGTGTGTGTGTGTGTGTGTGTGTGCGTGTGTGTGTGTGTGTGTGTGTGTGTGTGTGTGTGGGGTGTGTGTGTGTGTGGTGTGTGTGCGTGTGTGTATGTGTGTGTGTGTGTGTGTGTGTGTGTGTAGTGTGTGTGTGTGGGTGTGTGTGTGTGTGTGGGGTGTGTGTGCTGTGTGTGTATGTGTGTGTGTGTGTGTGTGTGTGTGTGTGTGTGTGTGTGTGTGTGTGTGTGTGTGTGTGTGTGTGTGTGTGTGTGTGTGTGTGTGTGTGTGTGTGTGTGTGTGTGTGTGTGTGTGTGTGTGTGTGTGTGTGTGTGTGTGTGTGTGTGTGTGTGTGTGTGTGTGTGTGTGTGTGTGTGGTGTGTGTGTGTGTGTGTGTGTGTGTGTGTGTGTGTGTGGTGTGTGTGCGTGTGTGTGTGTGTGTGTGTGCGTGTGTGTGTGTGGGGTGTGTGTGCGTGTGTGTGTGTGTGTAATATGATGAGATTGGTAAATGGCTGGAATGTCACATGTGTGAGCTCATTAGCTGCTGAAGCTGCTGAAGCTGCTGCTGCTGCAGTGGAGTGGAGTGTTAAAATGGACTCTCACAGAAACAGTTTTAACATTTTCTCAGGGTTTATTCGAGTCCAATCTGTTCTAGAGTTAATTTAACATTTTTGGAAATGCTAATTACACTGGACCAAAGTTCCTGTTAACCCCGAAAAAAAAAAGAGTTATATTAAAGTTTTGAGAATAAACAGATAACACTTTGTAGGATTATACTGATTTAGCTGAACAACACACAGAGGTGTTTTATTTTTACACTTTATTTTAGTTACTTTAAGATGAAATTATGTACAAAATTGGTTCAAACTGGTCTTCTTTTGTTTGAGTGTGAAGTGGTGGGTGGGAGGTGTCAAATTAACACTAACGGGAGTTGAATTAACTACAACCACCAACTCTGGCAAATAACCCCAACTCAAACCCCCATTTAAGGTTTAAATAGTTAAAATAACATTTTTTTGTGTTAAAAAATACTCTGAAATATTTTACCCTGAAAGTGAGTCTGTTACCATCTGTAACTAAAGGGAAAGAGCACAGCTATAATGATAATAATGCATCAGATATGAAGAGCTTTTTGTACATTTACACCATATAGAGCATTATTCATACACTTCACACGCAAACCCCTTATTGTGTAACGACACAATAAGATCATAAGGTGAAACACTAAGAAAGTGGAGTATGCGTCGGAAGGGACGATGGTGCAGTTTGGCAGCCTTGCTTCCGCCAATCTGTCTCAGGGCACTTGTGGCTACAATAACTAGTGGAGTGAATGATTTATGCTCTGTAAAATGCTCTGGGAGTCTCTCCATGGCTGAGCACTAAAGTCCATCTGTGACATGTTAGTGTCATATGAACCATGTCGCACTCGGAGGAGGTCAGGGACCGACCTCCTGCTGGTGCCCAGAGTCACGACTAAACACAAGGAGTCAGCATTTCAGATTCATGGAGCTAAAACCTGGGACAGTCTTCCTGAAGATGTGAGACAGACTCTACTCTGACTCTGTTTAAATCCAGGCTCAAAACGATTCAGTTCAGCAGCGTCTGAAAAGTTTTCTTCTCTCTAATTTAATGTCTCTACGGGTGAGAGGAGAGTCCCTGCCTCAAGTGGAGTAGTTCAAATATCTCAGGGTCTTATTCACGAGTGAGGGGAGGACGGAGCGTGAGATTGACAGGCAGATCGGTGCAGCGTCGGCAGTGATGCAGTCGCTGTATCGGACCGTTGTGGTGAAGAGTCTTTGTTCCTACTCTCACCTATGGTCATGAGCTCTGGGTAATGACCGAAAAGACGAGATCACAGAAACAAGCGGTTGAAATTAGTTTCCTTCACAGGATGTCTGGGGGCTCCCTTAGAGACAGGGTGAGGAGCTCAGTCACACGGGAGGAGCTCGGAGTAGAGCCGCTGCTCCTCCACGTCGAGAGGAGCCAGTTGAGGTGGCTCGGGCATCTGTTCCGGATGCCTCCTGGACGCCTCCCTCGTGAGATGTTCTGGGCATGTTCCACCAGGAAGAGGCCTCAGGGAAGACCAAGGACACGCTGGAGGGACTATGTCTCTTGGCTGGCCTGGGAACGCCTCGGGATCCCCCAGAGGAGATGGAGGACGTGTCTGGGGTGAGGAGGTCTGGGAGTCCCTGCTTAGACGCCTGCCCCCACAACCCGGCCCCGGATAAGCGGAAGAAAATGGATGGATGGAATTTAATGTCTCTCTCTCTCTCTTTTTAATGTCATGATGATTATTTATGTTTTGATTTGTTTTTATTGTGATTTTAATGTATTTCTTATTCTGTAAAGCACTTTGAATTTCTTTGTGTACGATTTGTGCTTTACAAATAATGCCTTCCCGAATACTCTACAACTGCTAAAATACCATCTCTACTACTAACAGACTACTCCTATTACTACTACTACTGCTTCTCCTCCTCCTGCACAAAACCACATCACTCGTCGGCCTGTTTCATTCATTAGTTCATTCCACAAAGTAAACTCCTGTGAGTAACTGTCGTGTGTTTGTTCTGATGATGGTGCTGTGCCGGTGTGGAGCTGCTGTTTGCTCGGGCTGTAGATACAGAGGGCTGTGACAGGATGCTGCTCTTCTCAAACTGTTTGACATCCTGAAAGGGCAGCGCCTCTTTATGACACACAGAACTTTTCCAGTGGAGAGTTCTCCTGCGCCATCTGCTGTCTCCATGGATTTTGCCTTTTAGGTCCGTGAACAGTTTTGGGGAGTAACAGATTACATGTGCCAGAGTTATGTAATCAGAGTACAAAATTATGAGTAACTGTATTCAGTTACAGTTACTGTTTCAGTGAGTGGTAATTGGATTACAGTTACTGTGTTGAAATAAATGGATTACACGGCGGTATTTTCACATTTTGGGCTAAACCAGAACTAAAACCAGGACTAAAACCAGGACTAAACCAGGACTAAACTGGGACTAAACCAGAACTAAAACCAGAACTAAAACCAGGTCTAAACCAGGATTAAACTAGGACTAAAACCAGGATTAAAACCAGAACTAAAACCAGGAATAAACCAGGACTAAAACCAGGACTAAAACCAGGACTAAACCAGGACTAAAACCAGGACTAAACCAGGACTAAAACCAGGACTAAAACCAGGATTAAACTAGGACTAAAACCAGGATTAAACTAGGACTAAAACCAGGACTAAAACCAGGATTAAACTAGGACTAAAACCAAGATTAAACTAGGACTAAAACCAGGACTAAAACCAGGATTAAACTAGGACTAAAACCAGGACTAAACCAGGACTAAACTGGGACTAAACCAGAACTAAAACCAGAACTAAAACCAGGACTAAAACCAGGACTAAACTAGGACTAAAACCAGGACTAAACCAGAACTAAAACCAGGTCTAAACCAGAACTAAAACCAGGATTAAACTAGAACTAAAACCAGGATTAAAACCAGAACTAAAACCAGGAATAAACCAGGACTAAACCTGGACTAAAACCAGTGTTAAAACCAGTGTTAAAACCAGGACTAAACCAGGTGTAAACTAGGACTAAACTAATACAGTATGACACTAACAGTAGGGTGGAAATAATTGTGATTTCATATAAAAATAATTTCTCTATCAATAATATTTTTTATATGGTCAAGTAAAGACTGAACAAACAAGAATTTTCAGGATGTGGTTGTTACATTCATATAGTTTTAAAAAACATGACAATATCAAGTAATCCAAAGTATTCAGATTACATTACTCACTTTAAGTAACTTCATGGATTACATTACAAACTACATTTTGGGGTATGTAATCTGTAATCTGTAATCTGTAGGGGAATACATTTTAAAAGTCACCTTCAAAACACTGTCCGTGAAGAGGCAAGCAAACAAGAAAAGGTAACATGCTGATCCAAAAATTTTATGTATTTGGAGTTAATGCCCCAAAGAAGTGTAATACTCCCTCTTTAAAGACGCATTGTGTTGTTGTTTTGTCTGGAATGTTTCACAGTATGGCATTAAACCTTTCTATTTTCATAAAAAACAAGTTAGAGATCAGATCTGTGGAGAGGCGACCCAGCTCACAGTCAGAATTTTTGTTTTTGTAGGGATTTCTACGGAAACCGAGAGGGGTCGCAACAAACGCAAACACCGCAACAAATACAAATGTGACAACAACAACAAAAAGCCACAAAAAAACAAAAAAAAAGCCATAAAAAACCAAAAAAGCCACAACGGAAATGACCGCGGGACTCTGTTTTAATGCAAACGCCACAACAAATACAAACGCCACAACACAAACGCAAATGCCGCAACATATTAAAAAGCCACAACACATTAAAAAGCCACAACACATTAAAAAGCCACAACACATCAAAAAGCCACAACGGAAGTGACCGCGGGACTCTATTTTCCGACGGACCGATCAAACGGCAAGTGAAGAAGAAGAACTACAATGTGAAAAGTAAAGGAACGGAGAAGTTGGAAACGTAAGTAAAAGTAATTTATTGTTTTATCATTATTCGTTTCACGTTTTAGTTCCATTGTGGCTTTTTAATGTGTTGCGGCATTTGCGTTTGTGTTGTGGCATTTGTATTTGTTGCGGCGTTTGCATTAAAATCGAGTCCCGCGGTCATTTCCGTTGTGGCTTTTTGATGTGTTGTGGCTTTTTGATGTGTTGTGGCTTTTTAATGTGTTGTGGCTTTTTGATGTGTTGTGGCTTTTTGATGTGTTGTGGCTTTTTAATGTGTTGTGGCTTTGTAATGTGTTGCGGCATTTGCGTTTGTGTTGTGGCATTTGTATTTGTTGCGGTGTTTGCATTAAAATCGAGTCCCGCGGTCATTTCCGTTGTGGCTTTTTGATATGTTGTGGCATTTTGATGTGTTGTGGCTTTTTAATGTGTTGTGGCTTTTTGATGTGTTGTGGCTTTTTAATGTGTTGTGGCTTTTTGATGTGTTGCGGCATTTGTGTTTGTGTTGTCGCATTTGTATTTGTTGCGCCGTTTGCGTTTGTTGTGACCCCTCTCGGCTTCCGTAGATTTCCGAGCTATAAACCCACCTGTAATTGAATAAATGTAAGATAGATCAGTTTAATGTCATACTGTGGAACATTTCAAACAGTTTCTCCGTAGAAACAAGCAGGTGAAAGACCCTCAATCAAAAAGTTACAGAGTGCAGCTTTAAGTTTTCAATATCTCCCTAAAATATTACAAACTCAGAGACATATTTCTTAGTTATTGATGGTTTTTATTGACAGTACAAAGAGAAATTGTCAGGTACTTACAGCTGTTCAGTTCCTATTGTACAGCATGCAAAAGGCCAACAGCACACACACACACACACACACACACACACACACACTCAAACTCACACACACACGTCTGTACAGTTTCAGTCATTATCACATTCGTCAAGGGCCTAAACGGTGCATTTAAGGACCAAAACAGACTTGGGAAAACTCCTCAACAGTTTACCACCATATTATGCTTTGTTTTTGGATTATATTTTTTTTATTCTTCTGAATGTCTTAGCCTTGGTAATTACATTTTTTGACGTTAGATAATGTAGAGGTGGGTAGTGCTCGGAAAACATTTACTCAAGTACATTTAGTTTTTATTTATTAGAACTGGACTTCTCAAAGTAGTTTTCAGACACTCTAATAGTAGAAAAAAATAGTATCGAAACTAGTTATTAGAGCAGGTATCAATACTAAAAAGTCCCATTCACAAGACAGAAATGAACCTTTTCTGAAGCTTTAGAATGATCTCGAGCTGTATCAGAAAATCGCATTCTATAGGCGAGTTTCATCGTTGACAAAAGCGCGCGTTGCATGCTGGGAATTATTTTGGTCGGTGGCAAGAAACACTAATTCAACATGACGGACGGAGCGAGAAAGCACGTAAAGGGTATTGATCCCGGTTATTTATCCACTCTAACGGCAGAGGACCCAAGACCATTTGACCAGAAATTGGTCATAAGCATCGATGGAGCCAAATCACCCTTTTCAACCCTGACAAAAGGTGGACCAAACCAAATTTCTGGTCAGAATCACCAACTACCTGGACAAATATTCACTTTGGTGATATCCACAATGACTTGGTGGAAACTCCTGGGCCATTCACAGCAGAAAAGATGAAAACCTCCAAGAGTCTCGATGTGTTGTTGAACTTGTTGGAGTCCACGGTTTGTTAGGATCTTCTACGTTTGCTCTGCGAATGTTTGAAAAGTCGTTTAATTCACCGTTAGCGGTTCTTTTCACTCAGAATACGAAAAAGACATTTTCCTTCTTCCGTGCTTCTATTTGTGCATCCGATAATGCAGCAGGAATTTACCATTATTGGGGATAAATACACGAGGTTACGCACTGTGTTTGACGCTATCCTGTTTCTTGCCTCCAGACTAAAATATTTCCCAGCATGCAACGCGGGCTTTTAATAACAATGACGTCAGCTGAAACTCGCCTATTGTCTAAAGAAAGAGGGTTTTTAATTATTATTGTGTTACTGGAATTGGTATTGATTATCAAGTCTATTCCTTAGTATCGAATTCAATTAGAAATTTTATTATCACGAAAACACTAAAGTCTAGAAGTTACAAAGGTTTAAAGCAGGGGTGTCCAAACTTTTTTCATCAAGGGCCACATATCTAAACAGAGACGGAGCAGAGGACTGATCGAGGGCCGTACAGACTGGAGCTCAATACAGTGAATAATTGAAATATGTTCATGTTTAACATGTTAGAATGAGTCATCAGTCCTTTATTCAGGCTAAGATCCTTTAAACCACACTAAATATTAAATATTTGCTTTATCAAGGTAAATTTTCAAAAAGTTAATTTTTAATTCATCTGAGGTCATTTGGGCCAATTCACCTGGAAGCCTGAGGGCCAAGAAAAATTTGTCTGAGGGCCTGTCTTAAAGGAACTGTATGTATCCTGCACTCTTACTGTTTTAAACAATGTACTACACAATTGAAACTGGGTGCCTTAACCTGCAATTAAAGACACATCCAGGTTTGTCTCATTCTCAGTTTATGAACAAGCCTCATGTGAAAGCTCAGAACCTCCAGAATTCCCTCCCTGAGCTGCAGAGGCTGCACTAGATTCAGGATTGGTGTAGGTGCTGGGTCTAAGTAGTGACCAATCAGATCAGAGACAGTCATTTTAAGTTTAAACCAACTGCGATTTCAGCTTTGGAACTGGCAACACAAATGAGAGACTCATGTGAGGCTCATTTTGCTTTCAGATTGGATAAACATCTTGAACCAAAACACAAAATAAGCTCCATTCACGCTTACGTCACAAACCAGGAAGACTTTTTGAAACATGCGATGAAAACTTCCGGTGTAGTTCCCGACACTGGGCTCATCGACCGACTCTGATCAAACCGACTGAAGTAAATGTGACCAGCGGTAAATTGAGGACTGCAGACGTATGTGCTGTTCGGAATCATCTGGAATGTGGCTTACCCAGTGCGCTCGGAGTTCGTGTGCCAGTGGGGAAATGATAAAAACTGAGGTGTGGTTGTAATTGTTGATTAGCCGAACATAACTCTACAATGACATGTACCGTGTACCTATAAGTCGCACTTTTTTTCATGGTTTGGGTGTTTCCTGTGACTTATACTCCTATGCGACTTATATATTCAAATTTTCACATTGAAGCGGTGAGACACTCTAGTCTTGTGAGTCAGTATCTGCTGCTCCTGTTCCTCCTGCACCACTGTCACTTGGCTCTACTGCGCATGTCTCCTGCAGAAAGAGCCTCTGTCCTGCTGCAAGTCGTGAAATCTGCAGCTGAAAACACTAATCGAGCAGCAGAAAGAAAGTTTGGAGTGAGAGAGAAACTTGTGACATCAGAAGGATGCACCATGAAACTTTCCTGAAGTCACTGGATGGATGGACAAAGCCTGGACTTCAGTGACACCGAAACCATCCTGTCGAGATTCAGAAAGACCCGAATAATTCTAACTGGAACTGATGCTGAGTCTGACGACAGCGACGCAGAAGAGGAAGCGGCGCTCTGTTTACCTCCGGAGGTCGAGGAGTTGCTCAGAAGTGACACCGAGGATGAAGAACTGAATGGATTTCGTGATTTGGAGTGAGATGGAGAGTTTGTTAAACTTGTTCTGTTCTGTTGTTTATGTTATAGTTTATCTGAAGAACTGTTCATATGTGACGTTAACAGTCTGTTGTTCTCTGTTCTATTGTTATTACTAGAACTTGGCTTTCAAAATGAACTGTCATGTTCCTGGTCTCTCATTTTATAATACAAATTTCCCCCGAAAAATTGCAACTTATATATGCTTTTTTCTTCTTCATTAGGCATTTTTTGGCTGGTGCGACTTATACTCCGGAGCGACTTATAGCCCAAAAAATACAGCAGATGAAGAAAACTGGGACATTTTTCATTTTTCCTAGAATAGAGCCTGCCGGAAGTTGTAATCGCATCTTTGCAAACATCTTTGTAAGCGTGAATAGAGCACATTATAACAAAGAAGTGGGTAATCATGAATATATCTGTTTTGTTCAGACAATTCCTGTTACTCGAGTAGTTTCCCAAGTACATTTTTGCCTCACTGCTTTGTACTTGCACTAATATTATTTCGAACCATATTGTTACTTGAGAAAATGTTTAGTGAACTCACCACCTCAGCGTAGCCCTCATAAAAATGCATAGATAATTACTCAATGGTAAAATGTAGTCGATGTTTTGTGGTGAAACTTTATGCACTTTTGCTGATACGACATTCCGTTTTCGTCTTGCGTTTGTGATCAACGTTGGTATTAATATTTAAAAATTCCCACAAAATCTGGGGTAAACTTTGCTGAATTATATGACTGTGTAAACGTATAAACCTTTAGCTCCAGTGCTCTTCTACTTCCGCTCATCTCAGAGATTCCAAAACCGACAAAAACAAACAAAACAGGTATGAGGTATGTTCATGAAGTGGGAACATTATAACTTAAAAGCTCAAATACAACAGTTATTAAGCGTAAGATGTGACGTTAAAGACGGAGAGTCCTTCATACACAGATCATCAGTCAGTATTTACAGTGCGTTAGGGAAGAGGAGGAGGACGGAGGGTTTTTGTCGTGGGAGGAGGGGGCGGGATCAGAGGAAAGCGCTGGGATTGGCTCGCGGGTCCTTCTGGTTCCTGTAGCGGTACGTCAGCCACACCCCCAGAATCTGAAAACACACAAATGGAATTATTATTGAGACATTCATCATTTTGGTTTTAAAATGTTCGTATTAAGCCGCTTTACATGATCCTGGGGGTTTTATTTACTGTATTTTTCGGACTATAAGTCGCACTTTTTTTCACGGTTTGGGTGGTCCCGCAATTTACACTCGGGTGCGACTTATATATTAAAATTTTCACACTGACAGTCGTGAGAGGCTCTAGTCTTGTGTGTGAGTATCTGCTGCTCCTGTTCCTCCTGTACCACTGTCACTTGACTCTACTGCACATGTCTCCTGCAGAAAGAGCCTCTGTCCTGTCTGTATCATGTCAGTCGATCGCTCCATTACAATTCAGTTTAAATTCAATTTAATTTTTTTCTATAATTTTAAATTATAATCCCACATGGCACACATTTATACATGTACATGTAAATATGTAAATGCATTATATTATGTACGCCCATATGTGTTAACTGTGAAAAAAAAACATGGACTCCCAAAGAAGCTGGGAAGCTTGTGTATATGGCGTCCATTACTTCTGCACCACTAAAAATTCAAAATTTAAACAAACATAAAGACAAGCGAAACCATCCTGTCGGGATTCAGAAATATCGGAATAATTCTAACTGGAACTGATGCTGAGTCTGACGACAGCGACACAGAAGAGGAAGCGGCGCTCTGTTTACCTCCGGAGGTCGAGGAGTTGTTCAGAAGTGACACCGAGGATGAAGAATTGAATGGATTTAGAGATTTGGAGTGAGATGGAGAGTTTGGTAAACTTGTTCTGTTCTGTTGTTTATGTTATAGTTTATCTGAAGAACTGTTCATATGTGATGTTAACGTCTGTTGTTCTCTCTTCTATTATTACTAGAAGATGTCAGTTCATGGTCTCTGATTTTGTCAAATATATTTCCCCCCAAAAGTGACTTATATATGTTTTTTTATTCTTCATGATGCATTTTTTGGCCTGCACGACTTATACTCCGGAGCAACTTATAGTCCCAAAAATATGGTAGCTGTTTGTCTGTTCCTAATGTACTTGGCTCCAGTTCATCCTTATAACTGTTAGTATTATGAGCTCCATTTGACAGGAGCCGAACGCTGTTTATACAGTCTACGGATGCCATGTGCTGATACAGGAAGTCCTCCATTCTTTTTAACCTCCATTCATCTTCACTAGAATCATCTGGATAATTTCAGCTCTGGAGTTTCCAATCTCTGCTGAACTAAAAGGAGCTGTTAAGTTGAAAACTACTGCTTCACAAGGTGGAACAAAGCACTTTGAGCTTTGGAGATGTAGACAGACTAAAAATAAAGGTACTCAAACATGTGTGAATGAAACAAGACACAGCTCTGGGTTTTTCTGATGAGGTAACAACATTCTAACATAAAAGCTCACAAGAATCAATCCAGTGTAATATAGGACCTTTAAAATGTGACCCAGATGCATGATATGAGACATAGTGAAGGAGAACAAAGATGACCTCTGACCTCTGTGAAGCTGAAGAAGAGCCCGATGCTTCCTCCGGTTCTGAGGATGTCTCCTGCGTGCACCTGGATCTTATCTGCACACGGCTGGCACGAGTGGTTTGGGAAACAAGTCTACACAAAGACACACAATACAAATTGGTGTAATAAGTGTAAGAGAATTGTGTTATAAAATGCAAAAGTGGTCTGCAAAACATGTCTGGAGGTGTAATAAAAGAGTGTGTCTTGCCCAAAGACACATCGGCAGTATTCATCTGTGGAAGCAGGAAGTTATAGTGTACTTACAGCTGTACATGTGTACTTACAGCTGTACATGTGTACTTACAGCTGTACAGGTGGAGTTGGTGGTGTACTTACAGCTGTACAGGTGGAGTTGCGGTGTAGTTGTGGTGTACTTACAGCTGTACAGGTGGAGCTTGTGGTGTACTTACAGCTGTACAGGTGAGCTGTTAGTGTGGTGTACTTACAGCTGTACAGGTGGAGTTGTGGTGGTGTACTTACAGCTGTACAGGTGGAGTTGTGGTGTACTTACAGCTGTACAGGTGGAGTTGTGGTGTACTTACAGCTGTACAGGTGGAGTGTGGTGTACTTACAGCTGTACAGGTGTAGTTTGTGGTGTACTTACAGCTGTACAGGTGGAGTTGTTGTGGTGTACTTACAGCTGTACAGGTGGAGTTGTGGTGTACTTACAGCTGTACAGGTGGAGTTGTGGTGTACTTACAGCTGTACAGGTGGAGTTGTGGTGTACTTACAGCTGTACAGGTGGAGATCGAGTGTACTTACAGCTGTACAGGTGGAGTTGTGGTGTACTTACAGCTGTACAGGTGGAGTTGTGGTGTACTTACAGCTGTACAGGTGGAGTTCGAGTGTACTTACAGCTGTACAGGTGGAGTTGTGCGGTGTACTTACAGCTGTACAGGTGGAGTTGCGGTGTACTTACAGCTGTACAGGTGGAGTTGTAGTCCACAGCTCTGAACCCGCAGCAGTTCAGACTCTTCTCCACGTCTCTCTGGGTGCTCTGGGAGTTGTTCCAGCCCACCTCCAAAAGATGCTCCTACAAGAACACAAAACTTTTACTTTCTTTGAGATGCAACATAAAAACACTCACTAACTGCTGTTTCTCAGGATAAATACAGGAGTTTTATCATTTCCAGTTTCTATAAAACCTGATGTTATAATAAATGCATTCTAAGTAGGAAATCATGAACCTCCTTCAATTCCACTTGATATAAAGAAGCAGTGTCCATGTCTCCTACTCCAGACCCTGACCCATAATCCTCTAGAACTCTCTTCTACCCACACAGGGAACATATATCATAAAGGAACTGTATGTAAGACCACAGACTGCAGTAATCATGCTGTTCCTGCAGAGGGTGCTCTGGAGCTTCACCGGTAAACTTAGATTAGGGGGATGTGTGTGTGTGTGTGTGTGTGTGTGTAAAGTCAGTGGGCGTGTTCTTACCTGCTGATCTCGGTTGATGGCCAAACAGGCGCTGGAGACGGAGAATTGAACCACGAACACCAGAAACAGAACGATCATGTACTGAACTCACTGTTAAGGACAAAACTTAAACATCATGACAACTGAAAATGCCTGTAGTTTGGTCACAGCGAGAGTATCTCAAGTTTGTGACATGCCAATATCGTTACAAAATACAGTAATTTTGACATTAACAACACTGTAAACTCATTTTCTTTCCCTTATACATTTTTGGTTGATTTATTTAATTGATCAAATATGGCCTTACTTTTATTTTAAGTAGATATTATAGTAATAATATTCATGAAATACGAAGTGTAAAAGTGTATAAAATTATCTCAATAGTCCTACAAATGACACTACAGTTTGCAAGTGTTAAAACTGCGTCCATTTCCCACAGCGGCCACCAGATGTCACTGTTGGACATATAATCCTGTGAATAAGTTAGCTTTTTAATTAATTTTTGTTTCACTTTTTAAAAATTTCCACAGTCTATTTCGGGAGCACAAAAGATAATATTTACCATCAATTAAAACTACACTATGTAACTTTTTGCACTTGCTTGTCTCCATGGAGATGTGGTCTTGCTTGGAATAGTATTTTTTCAATCACAAGAGTTTTTTTTTTTTTTATTTTTATTTTATGTATCTGACCCATACTGCACTCACTACATTAAAGATACACTATGTACTTTTTTTGGTTGGGGGTCTGTCACCTGCTTGTGTCTTCTGATATGTAATTCCTCTGCCTGGAATGTTCCACAGTGTGACTTTAAACAGCTCTTCCTTAGTTTGATAATGAATCTTTTTTGCTACATATTTCAAATTTACTATTACCATTTATATTTTTGCTTTTTGTTATTATATTGTATTGTGATGTGTGAGCTTCTGTGTCCAAATAATATCAATATATCGTATCGTTTAATGTGCTGATACAGTATCGATATCTTGGCTGCTGTATATATATATATCGCCAAGAGTATTTTTTGGTATATTTTACTAAGTTATTTGAAATTATTTGGTTTTTGGCCTACATATCGAGGTATGTATCGTATCGTGGCCTACGTATCGAGGTATGTATCGTATCGTGGCGTACGTATCGAGGTATGTATCGTATCGTGGCGTACGTATCGAGGTATGTATCGTATCGTGGCCTATGTCTCGAGGTATGTATCGTATTGTGGCCTAAGTATGTATCGTAGGTATGTATCGTATCGTGGCCTATGTATCGTAGGTATGTATGTATGTATCGTATCGTGGCCTATGTATATCGTATGGTATATCGTATGGTATGTATCGTATCGTGGCCTATGTATCGTGGCCTATATCGTATCGTATGTATCGTAGGTATGTATCGTATCGTGGCCTACGTATCGAGGTGTATGTATCGTATCGTGGCCTATGTATCGAGGTATGTATCGTATCGTGGCCTACGTATCGAGTATGTATGTATCGTATCGTATGGCCTATGTATAGTATGTATGTGTAGGTATGTATGTATGTATATGTATCGTAGGTATGTATCGTGGCTGTATCTATGTATCGTATCGGTATGTATCGGTATCGTATCGTGGCCTATGTATCAGTAGGTATGTATCGTACGTATCGTGGCCTATGTATGGTATCGTATCGTACGTATCGGTATGTATCGTAGGTATGTATCGTATCGTGGCCTACGTATCGAGGTATGTATCGTATGTATCGTGGCCTTACGTATCAAGGTATGCATCGTATCGGCAACTTCTTAATGATACCCAACTCTAATTCTGGCTGCGAGCAGGGTCGCCCCTCCACAGATCTGACCTGTAACTTGGTCTGGTTTGGTCTCCATGAAGATAGAAAGGTTTAATTAATGACACACTGAGAAACATTCCAAGAAAAGCATTTGACGGACGCTCCACCAGAAAAGTCACACAATGCAGCTTTAAGTGGAGGATTTTACTCCTTTTACCCGTTGTGCGTGTTTTTTGTGAGTTTGGGAACGACTGAAGTGCTTCGGTGGGTCTTTGCTGTTGCTGTAGTTGTGCCGTCAGAGGCAGTTTGAGGCTCACAGTGTCACGGGAGACTCAGCTCAGCTCTTATTGCACATGAATACATGAATGAAAGATGAATTTTCCAAAACACGTCCCCAGGTTCCGCAGCAGAGAACTTTCTAGGCTTCGACACTGAACCTGATTGTTTTTTTTGAAGGTTTGTGCGGCTGAGATCATTACGAGCGTTCACGGACATGTTTAGGAGTTTGTTTTGTTTGTTTGGGACTTGAGGCTTGACTTGATAAAACGGACTAAGACTTTGGACTCGACTTGGACTTGAGAAGACTTGATGCTTCTCCTAAAAGAATATAACTTTTTATAAAATACTTTTATCGTTACAGTTCATAAATGTGGTGCTTAATTTTACAGGAACAAACTGGAACATGTCCTAACCACTTCTCTGTTTGTCACTATGGCAACAGTAACTGAAGTACTGTGATGCAGTATCCTCAAATGTACTACAGTAATTTACAGTACAATGCAGTAAATTAGAGAGAACTACAGAGAACATGGTCCTCCCATTTCAGTGCAGACGACATGACAAAATAACTGTTATTAAGCTCTTTTAAATTAAATTCTTTCTATTCTGACGTAATGATTCATGCTAAGATCTTGTTCAGACATTTAAAAAGGAAAAAAAAATCTACAACTCTTATATAAATGCTCATACATAAATATTACATGACTTTTTTGAGTACAGTTTAGTTTAAAATTCAAATAAATTGCAAAAATCTAAGCTGTATTTGGTGCTTTTTTGGTTTAAAGACTTGAAATGAGCAGACGACTTGGACTTGACTTAGACTTATGGGCCAGTGACTCGAGACTCGACTTGGAATTGCCTTTCTTTGACTTGGGACTTGACTCGGACTTGAGGTCAAACACTTACTTGAGACTCGCAAAACAACGACTTGGTTCCACCTCTGGACTGAAAGGTAACTGAAAAACTTTAACTACTGACCTGTTGTAGTTTCAACTACCGTATTTCCCGGGCTCTTAGACGCGCTCTTAAGCCTCTAACTCAGGGGTCTCAGACTCGCGGCCCGGGGGCCAACTGCGGCCCTCGGAAGGATTTTTTGCGGCCCTCCACTTAATTCCAAAGAACAATGTCAGTGCGGCCCGCGGTAGATGTACGCACAGTCCCACCCCTCTACCGCGGGCTGCACTGCAATCGGTGCCCATGCAGATTCACAACAACAGATTATTAATGCATCTTACATCCCAAAACTCATCTTACAGCAGTTGTGAAGCAACGAGTCTAAATGGATCTGTTAATACGAGTACACGTGCACATACTGCGTTTTTTTTCGTGCAACCACTATTTATCGAATACTCAATGTGGCCCAGGCTCACTCAAACTTTATCAAATGTGGCCCCCAGGTAATTTGAGTTTGAGACCCCTGCTCTAACTGCATGAAAAAATGACTGCGCGTCCCATAATCCAGAGCGCCCCATACACGAATCCACTCAGGTGTCCCAGCACGACTTCAGTAAACTACAAAGCCACAGCACATGCAGAACACACAAACACACACGGAGCAGACAGCGACCGCACAGCGAAAAACACCCACAGACACACTCATCACTCCACGCCGACGAGGAACGGAACGGAGGAACGAACCTGAAAAAGCGAGTGCAATGTGCCACTTCTAGACACGACTGAACAACTGAGTCACTGCGAACACGCCGACAATCCAGCGCCCAGACAACACCCTCCCTACACGCCACAACTGAATAAAGCCCAGAGTCACTGTGAACGAACAAACAAACAAAACCACTCACCCATCACACTGTTGTGTTTCATTTAAAGTCCGGTGCGGTTTATTTGTGAAAAAAGTTTGAAAATAGACCATTTAATGACAGTCGTCTTATAATCCAGAGCGCCTAATAGCCTGGAAAATACGGTAAATCTGTTACTTTTGGGGGGTTAGCCCTATGTTCCCTCATTTCTAAGATTTTTTTTCAAAATTAAACTCTAAGTCAAGTAATTTTTATTTTTATAGCACATTTAAAGGGATGATTCAGAGTAATTTCAAGGTAGGATCCTTTGCCCCATGACATTACATCTGTAGTCAACTGCTGCTGGAGAATCGGTTTGGTGTAATTGACGACCAAATCGGGAGAAATTGGGATAAAATCTGATGCAAACTGATGATAAAAGAAACGTGAGAACATAGGGCCTAATTTTGGAAAGAAAACAAACAAACAAACAAACAAAAAACAACTTAGAAATGAGGGAACATAGGCACTCACCATTTTTGGGCAGATTGAGGTAAAACAAATCTCAGAGTAAAGATGCACTGTGTAACTTTTTGGTTGGGCGTCCGTCACCTCCTTGTTTCTATGGATACGTCATTGCTCTGCTTTAAATGTTCCACAGTATGACTTTAAACAGCTCTACTTTACATTTATTCAATTACAGGTGTTTTTTAAAGCTCAAAAATACTTTAAAAACAACAACATTCTGACTGTGAGAGAGGTCGCCTCTCCACAGATCTGACCTGTAACTCGGTCCGGTTTGGTCTCCGTGAAGATAGAAGATAGAAAAGATTAATGCCATACTGCGAAACATTTCGGACGAAGCAAAAACACCTCCACGGAGAAAAGCGTTTGACGGAATCGCCAGAAAAGTTACACGACAGCGCTTCAGACAGAGCAGTGCGTCCAGTTAGCGTCACCCCGCTGCATGTTTTAGGTTGCCAGGGGAAACGGGAGCGCCCACCCTACCCCAGAAATCAGACCCGAGCCCTTTTTTCTTCTGTTACATCCTGAATATTCTCTTATCTTGCGCGGACACCTGCCGGGCCGTATCCTGTTTTAATGAATTCTAACGTGATTGTCCAAACCGCGTTCACTTTGCCGCTTTAGTCCGGCCGTTTGCTCTGGGCCATTCCTGAGCTGTCGGGAGGATACTCGGCTCTTTCACTGTTTATCCAGGGATCTGTCTCCACGGCGACGACCCAAAGAGACGCCAAAGGGAACGCCGGAGGAGGCTCATGCCCAATCATTAACACAGGGAGATGAGGAGATAGGCTCGTTTAAGTACGGAGCAATTTGGAACATTGAGGGAGTTTCAGGAACAGGGTCAGAGATAAATGAACACAAAAATAGCACAAAAAAAAAAAAAAATAAAGAAAACTGAAAAATTTAAACAATCTTCTAAATAAATAAAATTCAAAGTTACAAAGTAAATAAATAAATAAATAAACAGCACAAAAAAGAAAAAAAAAGAAAAAAGTAAAAAGAAAGAAAATGAGAAATTAAAAAAAAAAATTGAATCAATCTGCTATATAAATTAAAATTCACATAAAAATAAAAAATATAAAAATTAAACAAAATAATAGATAAATCGCACAAAAATTTAACAAATAAATAAAAGAAAAAAGTAAAAAAAAAAAAAAAAAAAAAAGAAAATACAAAAATGGTACAATTTTTTATCAATCTTCCAAATAAATAAAGTTACATAAAAATATAAATATATAAAAAATAAATAAATAAATGGCACAAAAAGTAAAATAAATAAATAAATATATATAAAAGAAAAAAGAAAAAAGAAAGAAAACATAAAAATGGTAAAAATGTATGTCAATCTTTCAAATAAATAAAATTTAAGTTAGATAAAAATAAATAAATAAATAAATGGCACAAAATATGGCACATAAAAGTAAAAAGAGGTCTAGCAGTATGGTTATACTGTATTACCATTATTACAGATTTTTCTTTTGCATTTAATTTTAATTTTTATATATTAATTTATTTAATTTTATTTTTGTATTTGTTGTCTTCTTATGCCACGTTTAGTTTCTGTCTGTGTTTGGGGGGAAGTGCGGGTTTGGGGGTTATTGTATTGTTTAATGTTTTATGCTATTTGCCCTTAATAAAAAAAAAAAAAAAAAAATTGTAATAGTAGATTTGCTTTTAAAACAGATGCCCTCCCTGTCACCACATACCATGAGGACAAAGTGTCATACGTCCACGTAGACGACGGCTTGTGCTCGGACAAGGTTCAAACTCAGTTCTCTCTGGTTTATGAGAAACACCTTAAACACTGTGTTCATTATAACAATAAAAATGCCTCAGTTTTACAGCTCTACTTCAGATACTCACAGACTCTTACGTAATGCACCATACCTGATTTTCTCCAGGTATTTCAGTAAAATTTGTCTTGCTCCAGTACAGATATATTGTATAAGCAGCTCTTGAGGTCAAAATGCATCTGTGTCCTGTCTGCATGGGCTCTGTTGGTGATAGTAACTCTGACAAAATCTGAGAAAACTGAGAAAATGGTCCGGTTTTCTTCATCTAGATGTCACTGTATTCTTTCTTTTTTCCTTTAATAAATTGCCTTTTAAACTATATAAATAAAGCCTATAAGAATAAAGCCTATTTTGAAGGGTTTTATTGTCACAGAAACAGGAAGTGTGTGCTTAGCATGCTATTATTTGTTAGTATTATTGTGATGACTTAACTCTGCTTTCCGAAATTTGCGAAAAGAGCTTATGAACTCGGTTTAAAAACGGTGAATAATTAGGATGCTCACATAGATTGTATATGTTAAAGGACACAGCTAACCCTGAAGAGGAAGTGAACGTGGGGGCGCTTCTGGCTCCATTGACTCTGGCTCCAGTTGACTTTACACTGAAAATTTGTTTCTCCTCTCTGTAAGTGCTGCTCTGAGCTTTGTCATTTTGGTCTTAAAATGTTCGTATTAACCCGCTCGACATGATCCTGGAGTCTTTATTGCACTATTTTGTCCATAAATAAATTTCTATCCTTAGTATGGAACTAACTCCAAATTCGCCAGTGTAGACCAGTGCTTCCCAAACTTTTTTCTGGGGACCCATATTTTAAAAGTCACAAACTTTAGACATTATTTGTAAATCACAAAATAAAGGTGGATTTGAGCATTATTGAACATTAATGAGGATATTTTATTGTTGACTGAGTGATCGCGTCTCTGAACAGTTACTTTTACTCAAATTTTAAACAATGAAAAACAGTCATTGAAGCTGCAATAAAAGGATCCGTAAGTCGCCTATTTGGACAATAAATGTAGCCCATTTCCTTTTCTTTTCAACTTTCAATTGAATGAGCAATACTGGAAGAAAATAGTCTGTAGAACTGTATGTGGCGGACGTACATGCAGATCGTGACAAGGCGACCCAAAAAAATTCTCTTGTGACCCACTGTTTGGGAAACAATGGTCTAGACCAGGGGTGTCAAACACATGGCCCGCGGGCTGGATCCGGCCCTCCAAGACCTTTAATGTGGCCCTTGGTTGATTTTCTACTAAAATATTTTAATTATATTTTCTATTAAAATATTGGTCATTTTCTGCTGTGTTTATCACAGCAGCATCTCCAGCGTCTCTGTACGTGGCCCCTCCCACCAGAGCAGCACAAATGAAGACTTGTCTCTTTCCAAACGCTCTTAAAGGACGATCGTTTTGACTGTTGACCGTGACACCCTCATCAGAAAAATGTCCAACATGAGAAAAGTGGAGCCGTGTGCAGGATTTTCCAAGAAAAATTTACTTATTCATTTGCAAACAAGTTAATGTTAAAACATTGTGTTGAAATTGCATTTTCCTTAAAATTTCAGGTTGTTCATAATATTATAATATTTTGTAAAAGAAAGAGTTCATCAATTAAAAAAGATTTCTGTAATAGATTTGTGTTTCTCTGCACAAATATTTGAACTTATTGTTATTTTTGGGGTTTATATGACATGAGTTTTCTGATCCGGCCCCTTTGGGATCAAAGTAGGTTGGATATGGCCCCCAGACCAAAATGAGTTTGACGCCCCTGGTCTAGACTATTGCAGCTCCCTCCTCACCGGCCTCAACTCCAGATCCACCTCCTGCCTCCAACTGTTTCAGAACGCAGCAGCTCGGCTCCTCACTTTGTTTAACACACATCAACACATTATTCCTGGTTTTACTTTCCTTTCACTGGCTCCTGTGCGTTTTAGAATCGATTTTAAGATTTTAATGATCACTTTTAAAGCTCGGTTTAGGTCTCGCACCAAGGTACATTTCAGAACTTTTAACCCCGTGTGAGCCTCCTGCTGTTCCAAAGTCTTAACTCTGGAGTCTTTTCAGTCCGGGCTTTAAATCGGCTTTGGAACGACCTGCCTGAGGAGATAAGACTCGCACCATCGGGATCATCTTTTAAATCACTTCTTAAGACTCATTTTTATCGGATAACCTTCCTTTAACTGGTTTTAGCTTGATTTTATCCCTTATTTCTTTTTATTCTATTTCTTTTTATTTATTTATTATAATTACTTGAATTGTCTGCATCATTGTCAGTTTTGGTTTGCCTTCTGTGTGCTATTTTTATGCTTTTTTGTTGTTCTTTGTGGCACTTTTACAGCACTTTGTCAAAATAATTTAATAGTTTAGTTTAGTTTTAACTAGATTTATTTGACTGGAGTTGAATCTTATGCACTTTGTCCACTTTGTTATAGAGTCTGTGGATGCTCAAAAATGGTAAAATAAGGTAAGAGGGGAATAACTTTGGATCAAACTGTTTAAAATGATCTAGTTTTCCACATTTTTAGGACAGTAAAAGTCAGCTACAGCTCTCTCCTCGCTCTCCTCTCTCCGCTGAATGCCTTTATTGTGAAGGATACAAAGAAGAGCAGGACCTGGTGGTGTTTCATGGCCCCGATGAGTCCGGCCAGAGCCACAAAGAAGAGGAAGACCCCGACGCCGATGAGCCCGCCCACCACCTGGAAACTGGACACCAAACCCAGCCACTTCCCCCAGGCCGCGATGCCAACCAGCAGCAGGCTCACCAGCTACAGCGGGCACAGAAAAGAAAGAAAGAGAGAGAGGAAGAGTTAGAGAGTTGGAGACAGTACGGTGTTTTCTTCATTATTTGTCTCCAGAACCAAAATGAAAAAACGGATAATGATTCGTTTTTTCAGTTTTCGATTTTGGGTTTAAATGAAAAACGGAAAAAATGGAAAATGTCTGTTTTCCGTGACTTAAACTGTGACGCAGGACTGAACCAGGACTAAAACAGGACTGAACCAGGACTAAAACAGGACTGAACCAGGACTGAACCAAGACTGAACCAAGACTGAACCAGGACTGAACCAGGACTAAAACAGGACTGAACCAGGACTAAAACAGGACTGAACAGGACTAAAACAGGACTGAACCAAGACTGAACCAAGACTGAACCAAGACTGAACCAAGACTGAACCAGGACTAAAACAGGACTGAACCAGGACTAAAACAGACTGAACCAGACTGAACCAGGACTGAACCAAGACTGAACAGACTGAACCAGGACTGAACCAGGACTGAACCAAGACTGAACCAGACTGACTGAACAAGACTGAACCAGGACTGAACCAGGACTGAACCAAGACTGAACCAAGGACTGAACCAGGACTGAACCAGGACTAAAACAAGACTAAAACAGGACAAAAATAAGACTAAAACAGGACTAAAACAGGACTGAACCACTAAACGATATATCGACTTGGATACACCCCTATTGGTGACTAACATGTGAGTCAGTATAGTCACTTTTTTTTTGTATTTTTGTAATTTTTAAGCAGAGTTTCTGTATTTTACCTAAACAAATTACAATTTATGGCGCTTTCTTACTGTTGGGAGGCATCAGATTGGTCAAAAATAGTGACATTTGGGACATTTCTTGTATAAAACTGGGACAAATCAGTGGCTTTGGATAAATCTGCTGGGACAGAGTCCAGTGTTGGGAAGGTGACTTTTAAAATGTATTCCCCTACAGATTATAGATTACACACACCAAAATGTAGTTTGTAACGTAATCCATTAAATTACTTAAAGTGAGTAATGTAATCTGAATACTTTGGATTACTTGATTTGCTGTAGAGAAGCAAAGACGAGGAAATTGTAACATAAGATGTTTTGTCTGATAAAAGAAAATAAAAAGCCCAAACTTTACTGAACCAAATTAAAAGTATTATTGATAGAAGAAGAAGGACACGGTCCACACAACATGATTAAGTCCTGTTAAATCCTGTTTTAGTCCTGGTTTAGACCTGGTTTAGTTATGGTTTAGACCTTTTTTAGACCAGGTTTAGACGAGGTTTAGACCTGGTTTAGACCTGGTTTAGTCCTGCTTTTAGACCTAGTTTAGTCCTGGTTTAGACCTGGTTTAATCCTGGTTTATTCCTGGTTTAGACCTGTTTTAGTCCTGGTTTATTCCTGGTTTATTCCTGGTTTAGACCTGGTTTATTCCTGGTTTGTTCCTGGTTTATTCCTGGTTTAGACCTGGTTTTTCCTGGTTTATTCCTGGTTTAGACCTGGTTTAGACCTGGTTTAGACCTGGTTTATACCTGGTTTAGACCTGGTTTAAACCTGGTTTAGACCTGGTTTAGTCTGGGGTAGTTAGGGGACACGGGGATCCAAATCAGGATGACCAGGCGTTCCTATTTACCCGGGACAGTCCCAGTTTTAACATTTTGGGAATTCTCACAGCCTAATTTTCCAGTTTTACACGCGTGAATGAAACAAAAACACACCTCGGGGTTTGTTTTTGAGGAGGTAACGTCGTTCTAACGCGGCTAAAACCTCATAATAATAATAAAATTTGCGTAATATGGGACCTTTAACACTATCTCTCCACACTGAGGCCTTTGTCCGCGCGTTTAGACAGATCCATGTGCGCGTAGGGAAATTCTGCCAGTCCAAGCACAAGTTGGGAAGGCGGTGCCGATAAGCGCAAACGCTATCAGTACCAAAGCTCACTCATTACGCGCCATAAAACACACGGGAAATACCTTAACAACAACAATACAACAACACAACAACAAAACCAAGCCCCAATTGCGAATTTAGCTCACATTTTTACCGCTACATCCTAATTTTGCGGGTTTATTTCGTTGCCATCGTGCGCATCCGATCTTGCAGCGAGTGAATAATTGATAATTCGCTGACCTCGAAGTGTTGTTTACAGGTTTTGGTTTTCCCACGCTTCAATTTGTTTTTTCTTAGTAATAATAAAGAGATAAATGGGTGTAATAAAGCCATATGTTCCGTACTGACCACGTAGAGGATGTTGAGCGCGCAGAGGCAGTGTTTGGAGCAGGTGAATCCGGCGCAGCCCATTTTGTCGCCAAGGAAAAACGAGAATTCAGCCGGGAATGTTCAAATCTTTGGTGGTGTAAATGGAAAAAGAGGAAAATGTGAAGAAATAAAGGTGATAATTCCCGTCCCGATGGAATAGACCGTCTCCCAGCAGCAGCAGCAGCAGCAGAAGCGCCTCACCTCAAACCGATGCGTCATGAGGATGCGTCACGTCAGCGCCAAAACAGAGGAAGGACAAAAATAACGCGTTTCAAATTAAAATATACGGGTCACACGAGAAGAAACAGTTGAATTTTTTTTACTATCGTTAATAAAACAAGTAAAATGGACTCTTAGTAGACCGATTTATTTACAAAAGTGAAAAAGAGTTCATTTAAAGATGCAAAATTTTACTTTTCTGGTGAAGGGTGTGCCGCTTAGTCTGATTCATCAGCCGGTTTCACTTCATAGAAACCGTCTGACCTTGAAGTATTAGAATTTGTTCGCTTGATGGTAGCCGACCAACCAATCGGTGTTATTTGGTTGTGACGTATGTAATGGGCCTAACTGGTATATTAAGCTTTTCCTAAATCCTGTAGGAGGAAGGACAATAATGTCTTTCCCCTTGATAAAATTCACCAAACATTCTCTTTGGTCCGGCTTTAAATCCTCGATCTTGGGAATTATTGCCAACACAGAATATCTGGCTCTTCGCTGATTGGCTTGTGCCCGAACTCACACTTTCGGGGTTTTTGCGAATGGTCTAGTGCAGGGGTGTTAAACTCAAATTCATACAGGGCAAAATTAAAAACTGGGACTAAGTCGTGGGCCAGACTAAACTGCATGTTTTCTCTTCTTTTCGAGATATGTAATGTTAAACCTTTTCGTATTAAAATAAATGCTTAATAATAGTTTTGCTTAAACATTGAATCCAGAACAAGCAGAATATAAAATAATAACATTTTAAATAAATAATGTCTCTATAGTCGATCTGTAACCGGTGGGCAGCTTTAATGCAGATTTGATGTGATCTCGCAGGCCAAATTTAATTATATCACCAGCTAAATTTGGCCCCCGGGCCTGAGTTTGACATGTCTGGTCTAGTGTATTCTGATTCCTGACCTAGTCGCTGGAGAGAAATGAAATTGAGCAGAGGCACTAGGGGGCGCCAGCCTGACTATCTGCCTCCTGTTTGGAGATGTTATTGCTTTGAATGTGCCACAGTATTATGGCATTTAACTCCACAGAAAGAAGCAGGGGACAGAACCAAGCCAAGTTACAGGTCAGATCTGTGAAAAGGTGACACCGCTCACAATAAGAATACAAGTTTTTAAACATTATAATAATTAGGTTTACTGTAAAAGAAAGATAAATGTAATGCCATACGATATCATCATGGTCTGCACTGTAATGGAGCAAAGGATCATGGTCAGTGTAGTTCCCTGTCTTTTTTTAGCTATTGCTATTTTAGCTATATATTGTGATGGTCCACGATATAATTGTGAGAACTTTGACGATACGATATCACGATATTTCGATTATTATTACATCCCTAGTGTTGTTAGTAAGGCTCAAGATCATTCTAAAGCGATTCAAGAAAGATTAATTTCTGTTCTTTTTTAGTACCATGACCTGCTTAATGACCTTCTTATTTAGTTTTTAGTTTCAATATTAGATTTAGTATTGATTAGTGTCTGATTTTCGATACTTTTGACAGCTATAGAAATGATGATGAAGTTCCATATTTGCATAATGTTTACAATGGGGAAATCCGTCTTTTGGGCCCATCGTTTATGAAATATTCACATTCTCAAATCTGAACTACCAGTGTTTGTAAAAAAAAAACCTCAATCTCCTTTCATATTAAAGCAACAAACACGAAATACAAAACTGTACCTAATCGCAAACAGGAATGATTATTTTATTTAAGAAAAAATGGCTAAATACGTTGTTTCTTTTTCATTTAAACCAACAGTAATTGGAAACTGACAACTCCGGCTTTTATTTTGTAGAGGCTTCACATCCGGCGTTAACTCTGCGCAGTGTTAAATTGACTCTTTACGCACAGGACGGGTGGGCGGGCTCTGGCTCACGCCGCGCTCTGATTGGCTGCAGTAAAGCTCTGTTATTTCTCAGCAAAAATCAACGGGATTTTTATCGGGTCTTTTATTCTAGAAAGTACCACGCGTCCTCCGTCTGTGATGCCGCCTACAGATGAGTAAGACGATCAAAATAACTCTGATCAGACTGTTCCGGATGCCCTCCCCTGGACACCAAACCTCATTAAAGATGCAGTGGGTTGAACGAACTGTTTCTAGGTCAAGTGGAAGGCTTCTTTTTACTTTCTCTTCTCGTGGAAATAAAAGCGTTGGCGGAAAGTTGAACATTACGTGTCGGTTTTTAAAGATACACTACGTATTTTTTCTGATACACAAGCTCACACGTCATAACAATATAATAACAAATAACAAAAATATAAATGGTAAAATAAATTCTAAATAAGTACAAAAAAAGCGTTTCAAATTTAAATATATGGGTCACAAGAGAAGAAACAGTTGTTTTTTTAAATTTTTTTTTTACTATCGTTATTGCCTGAATTCACAATCATAATAAAACAAGTAAAATGGACTCTTAGTAGCCCTGTTTGCTTATAAAAGTGAAAATGAGTTCATTTAAAGATGCAAAATTTTACTTTGCTGATGAAGGGTCTCCCACCTAGGTTCATTCATCAAAAGAAACAAAAAAAAAAAAACAAACAAAAAAGCAAAAAAAAAAAAAAAAAAAAATAACCAAATTAATTAATTAATTAAAAATAAATACATAAATGAATTAATAAATAATAATAATAATAATAATAATAATAATAATAATAATAATAATAGCAAGTAAAATAAAATAGAAAGATAAGTCATAAAAATAATAACCCTTTGCCTCTAATGTTCCACAGTAAGACATTACACTTATATTACAGAGAGAGAGATACTTATATTATTCTTCATCCATCCATTTTCTTCCGCTTTATCCAGGGGGCAGTAGTCTGGTGAGGAGGCCTAGAATTCCCTTTCCACGGACACTTCCTCCAGTTTCTCCGGCAGGACCCCGAGTCGTTCCCAGGCCAGCCGAGAGACATAGTCCCTCCAGCGTGTCCTGGGTCTTCCTGAGGCCTCCTTCTGGTGGGACATACCCAGAACACCTCTCGAGGGAGTTGTCCAGGAGGCATCAGGAACAGATGCCCGAGTCACCTCAGCTGGCTCCTCTTGACGTGAAAGAGCAGCGGCTCTACTCCGAGCTCCTCACCCTATCTCAAAAGGAGCACCCAGCCATCCTGCGGAGGAAACTCATTTCGGCCGCTCGTATCCGCGATCTAGTCCTTTTGGTCATTACCCAGAGCTCATGACCATAGGTGAGGAGAGGAACGAAGATTAACGCTAAATCGAGAGCTTCGCCTTTTGGCTCAGCTTCCTCTTCACCACAACTGCACCAGTCTGTCTGTCAGTCTCACGCTCCGTCCTCCCCTCACTCCAGAACAAGACGCCGAGATACTTGAACTCCTCCACTTGAGGCAGGGACTCTCGGGTGGGTCAATATGGACATTTTATTTTAATTTTTTAGTTACACGATGCATTTATTCAGCCTTTCTCTCTCAAAAAAACACTTTGTTATTGATAATTTATGCAAAACTTTCAAATTGAAAATAAATATAGGCTACAAATATGAACCTTAGAGCAGTGAGAGCAGCAGTCAACGAAGATTGATGATAAATCGAGAGCTTTGCCTTTCGACTCGGCTCCCTCTTCACCACAACGGTCCGATACAGCGACCGCATCACTGCACCGATCCACCTGTCAATCTCACGCTCCGTCCTCCCCTCACTCGTGAACAAGACCCCGAGATACTTGAACTCCTCCACTTGAGGCAGGAACCCTCCACCCACTTCATTATTATTACAGTAGTCGCAGGGTCTTAAAAGTTTTAAAAAGGTCTTAAATATCATTTTCCTAAATTGAGGCCTTAAAAAAGTCTAAATTATGTTGTCCAGGTCTTATTTTTTTCATAAAGATCTTAAATTTCATCAGCCTATTCTTTGTAAACTCAACTAGGGCTGCAGTGCGATGTTAAATGGAGGGAGGTAAAAAAAACAACAACGTGAAATTACATAACAGGAATGAACGTCTAATTTGGAGTATGCGCAAACAATACTTAGTTTGTCTAGTTAGAATGTTTTAAATGAATTTTTGGCCATTTTCCAAGCAACGCATACGACTATAAATGAGCTCTGAATGAGATTTTATAATGAAAGTATTTTTCAGTGGGTAATGGTCATGATTAGAATTGGATCTGGTGTTTTTCGCTCGCATAATGGGTGCGACGTTGGTCTTAATTTCCATTTAAGTGATCTTAAAAAGGTCTTTAAATTTGGGGTAGTCAAACCTGGAGATACCCTGATATACATATTACACTATCTCCATGGAAACAAAAAAGTGACACCACCTAGTAGGGTTGTCAAAAATATTGAAAATCAGATACGAATCGAAACGAGAGTAGAATTTGAGCAGGTATCGATACTTATAAAAGTCACAGGGACAGAAGTGACCCTTTCCTGAATATCTTTAGAAAGATCCTGAGTGAACCAATCCAATCCACTTTATTTCTATAGCACATTTCACAAACAGTTTCCAAAGTGCTCCAAAAAATACATAATTTAACTATGGAACCTACCTGGACGACTGAGGGATTACACAGATATAAAACCACATGGAAATAGAAAAGAAAGTACTATGATTTAATACTGAAAATCACCTTCAATTGTCTAAATAAAGTGTTTTTATTTTCAGAATCAATATTAAGTATCGAATCAATTCCTTAGTACTAAAATCTAGTTTTAATTTGAGTTTTCTGACAACACTAACATGGCATTAAACTCGTCTTTTTCCACGGAGACGAGAAGGTGACAGCGCTAGGCCAAGCTGCGGGTCAGATCTGCGGAGAGGAGACCCTACTCAGATATGTTGAATGTAGATATCTTTATGGAGACAAGCGCTGGCTCTCCTCCAGAAAAGTGACACGGTGCAGCTTTAATCATTGTTTAGAAAAGATCTGGTTTAGTTCTCAGTCTAGTCCTTGTTTATCTTCTGATTTAGGCCGGGTATAGTGTAGTATTTGAGGGTGTGTTCACTCTTGTAAACACAGCATCAAAACTGGGACTTGGACTAGACTGGTGCTGATACGATACTAAGGAATAGACACCGATACCGATACCGATACTGCAGTGAAAATAAAAAAAAAACACTGTTATTTTTCAACATTAAATCATAGTTCTTTCTTTTCTATTTTCATTTGTCCTTATACTTGTTCTCGAGATCTTTCTAAAGCTTCAGGAACGGTTCATTTTTGTCCTGTGAACGTGACTTTTTGAGAATCTAGTTTCAATACTAGTTTAAATATTGATAAGTATTTGATTTTTGATGCTTCCACAACTCTATACTAGACAAAACAGGACCTACATCGGAGCTAAATGGACACAAATTGTAATTATTATTGTAAACTTGCGTGTCGTGATGATCTGATTCATGTGTAGGCTACAAGGTTTGAACTGCGATAAAGTAAACAGCCACGCTTCTGAGTCATTTATGAGTCACTAATTATTTTCTCGTCTTATCTGAGCTCCGTCGGACATAATGAAGCTGTAATAAAAACATTAGGCCAAGGAGAACGATATACTGAAGCTTTCAAGGTTTTCAGAGCTTTGTGTATGTGGAGATTCTCTTTCTGAGTTTAAAGTGCACGGTGGTTAGGCTATTAATTTCACTAAAATATAATTAATCATTATATTTAAGATTTTACTAAAAATCTTAGACAATAGCTATGATTTGAGTAATAAAAATAAATAATGAAACACCTTTTTATGGAGGTTTAAACTGGCATAAAAATGTCTTTCTTAAGCCAGTGTTGATGACATAGGTAAAGATGTTCAGTTCCTGTATTTATGTTCATGTCTTTTCATCTTTTTTCCCGATAAACTGCCACTTAGTTGGTGTAAAACTATGATAAATATTGACCACAGGTGCTACAACAAACCAAGCAATAGTTGAAAACCTGCCCTATGTTGGTTAGCTGCAAAGTGAAGTAAATTTGAATTAAATAATGTTATAATGGGGCCCGGTCAAGCAGAAGTAAACAACAAGGCCAAAAATTCAAGTTAATGCATCTGATATAAAAATGTATTGAACAGATACATATGTACTCTAGTTTATGAAACTGTTTACCTTTTTTCTGTACCGTTTTTGGTTCTAAAGTTCCATATGTTTTAAACAGACCATGTATGAAACATGGAACAAAAATTATTTCCCAAATTTCAAAGACCTGAAAATCATGTAAATAAATGGATGTATTTCATCATATCTTGTGTTATTCCATCTTTGAACTGTTGATGAAGGTACAGGATTTTTCAAAAAAAAAAAAAAAAGTATTTAAAATGATAAAAATTTGCTTGGAAGGACTGACATGTTTTATAGAAATAGTTTCCTTTCATTCTGAAGTAATATTAAAGTATTCAGAAGAAAAAAGCGACAAATTATGTAAAATCCTGCACCTTCTACTTGTTTGCACAATTTTCCCTCCGTTACTTTTCCCTCCGTTACCATGACCTTTCTTAATAAAAAATCTCATTACTCAAAAAGTAAGAGGTTTTTCAACCTAATCTTGTACCATATGGTAGAAAACTATATGAAGCAAATATTCAAACCAGTTTGTTAAGGATATGTAAGTGAGAACCAAGAGTTATCACTGTTTGGATTTATTGTCCAAAAAGTGCTGCATATTTCATTCCCTCCGTTACCGACATGAGTTTTTAAATTTTTTGTCAACAACTTGAAAGAATATCACAGGTTTAACTTGACCCTGTTGGAGTGTAACTCTTTCCTACATTCTGATACTTTACTTATTTCAATAGTTCCTCTAGTTTCTGAATAAGAGACATTTGAATGTAAAAAATCTGCCCCTGTTTCCCTCCGTTACCACTTGACTGGACCCAATGATTATAAAATGATACACAAATTAAACAAAGCACAAATCCTCCAGGCATGTTTTTGATGAGGGAACACCATGAAAACATAAATGTTAGTTTTCTATAACATAGAATTCTAAAGGTGGGATGTAAGTAACTTTTCTGCTCCATCAGCAGCTCGTCTCCACGGAGATGTGTTATTGTTTTACCTGCCTGGAATAATGTTCCTCATTTTGGCATTAAATTTTGACGCCCATAAGCCAAGTTACAGGTCCAAGTTCAGTCAGAAAGAAAGCATATTTAATACAAGTTATTATAAAAAAAAAACAAAAACAAAGGGTGACTGAGTCTCAACTTTGGAATGATCTGTGTGGAGATAAAACTAACACCTTCAGAACCATCTTTAAAATCACTTTTATTATCAGGACTTTTTATGAATGATATTCTATTTTTCTTCGTGCATCTTTTCTTTGTATTTTCTATGTTTTGTATTTTATTTTCTGGGTCTGTAAGCACTTTGCAAACTGTTTTTTCAAGGTGCTATATAATAAAATAAATAAAGATGACCTGTAATGCAAGGCAAGTAAGTTTAATGCCACGCTATGGGACATTCCAGACAAAACAAAAGCAAAACTATGGAGACGGCCCTACCAGAAAAGTTACACAGTGCCTCTTTAGAGCCATCAGTGACAAAAAAGGACTACAGGATAAATATAAAATCACTTTATTCATAAAAAGGTGAAAACATCGTCATATTAAAATGCTGTTGTAAAATGTTGTATCTGTTTTCCAAAGCAAAACAAAGGCCCTGTGTCCAAACGCTCGTGGAGATTCTCACAGACACAGGATGGACCCTCGTGTGTGCGGGTCACGTTTCCTTCAGCCCTCCTCCCCCTCAGACTCAGACTCTGCACACAAGAAGGAACAGTGTGTAAACAGCGACATCTGCTGGTGGTCTGGGGCATGGCATATTTAATCATTTAATCACTTATCATAAAGAACTGGTTTCAAATTAACACAGAAAAAATTGGTAGTGATTTAATTTAAAAAAAGCTTTAGAAGGAATATCAGAATTTTATGCCTGGTTAATTAGGGACGGAGATCTGCTGCCTGGTGATGGCTGATCTCAGTGAATTTTGTGAATCCAAAATCAGTTAACCCTCTCCAGGCAGGTGTTGCAGATTTACAACAGCTAAATGCCAATTACCTACTTACTCCAAATCCATATTTTATGAGCCTTTTTTACTCAGGAGCCTTTTCTCCCATCCATGCTGATAAACGTGGACGATGCAGACTGTGCAAGAATGGTTACACACAAACGGCCTGTCTAAAGTGCAAAGTACTTTTGTGCTTTACAAAGGATAAAAATTGTTTCTTGGAGAACCACACGAAAAAGATATGTTGTTCTGCCACTGTAAAGCTGTTACACTGTGCTTTTTGTTTTCATTGTTATGAAAAGTGGTATACAAATAAAGTTAGTGTTCATATCATTTTCAGTCTTCAGTGTTAATTTACCACACTGGACCAATGCTGCAAATCTGCAACATCCCAGAACACACTGGATGTGAAGGTCTCTCTCAAAAAAAAAAAAAAAGTCAGGATTGTATATTACTACCCCATATGATCATTTTCCCCAAATATCAGATTTTTCCTGATACTAAAAATTAATTTGAGCCTGAGAGGGTTAATCGTATGCCAATTATTGCAACAAAGTATTGATACCAATGAGCTTTGTTTTTGAAAGACCTTGAAACTCCACTATAATACATCATTTTTAACGTGATGTTTGGTGTTATTATCATCTTCACTTCATCCCAGTTTGAAGTGATCCATAAATTAACTAAACACAAATTTAAACAATGTATTATTACGCAAATTTATTATTATGCAGATTAATTAAAATTTGATTTGAAAAACAACAATTCTGTAACAAGTACTTCAGTATTGATTCGCCCATGACTACTGCTACATGGAATGACTACCTTGTGGCTGTTGTAAAAAGTCTAAAATGAGAGCACGTGTTCTGTACCTTCTTCAGCGTTCAGGAGCCACTCCACAAATTTGCTCATCTGCTCCAAGAAAACGCTCTTCCCTTTGGCCGAGTGCGCCTCTCTGTACCACTTCAGGATGGCCTCCTCACTCAGAACATCAGCTAAGGACAGAAAGAGATTATATTCACTCTGAGGACTGACACGGGGCGATATGTTTTATAACTGACATGTGCGCAGGTAAAATAACATCACATTTAACATCTGTGTTCAGCTCAGGGAGATAAACTTCCTCCACACTGACAGAGCAGAGAGTCCAAAAGTCTCACCTTTGTAGAAAAGCACCACGATCTTGGAGAAGGCCTTGATGAAGTGGATGTTGTCGTAGCAGTACTCCTGGATCTTGAGCAGCAGGACCAGCTCAGACTGACCCTGAGAGCTGAAGGCGGCCAGCAGGGGGGCGTAGTGCTGCACAGAGACGTGAGCAGATACAACTATGACTGTTTTATTCATTCACACAAAAGCAACGGCAAATACAGAAGCTCAGCGCAGCACAAAGGATCCATATCCAGAACTAGAACTAGTCCTGGTCAGGAGTCAGGAGGACTACCTCAGCTGGAGGATTTGATCTGTTGTGCATGTTTTGGGTTCATGGGGAAACCGATTCAGACACAAGGAGAAGATGTAAACTGCACACAGAAATGACTGGGGAACAATTCTGACGCACTGATAACAGGGCTGTACAAGGAGTGTCAAATACAACTCTGTGGAGCCTTTTTTATTAAAGGGCCCATCGCATGTAAAATAACTCTTTTCACATTGTATCTTCTGCACATAAACAAGCACAATTTGGATTTGGAACATCCATTACACAATAGTTATGAAATCTTACTGATTTCTTGGAGGCGTCACAGACCAGGAACTGTGAAAGTCCGACTATTGCTCCTCCCCCCGCCCGTCCTGAGAAAGCACAGGCTCCGCCCTCCAAACGTGACGTAGGACTCTGAGTGAGCCGCCCTTCCTCCGCCATCTCAGGGAGGGAGGGGGAGACAGACGTGCGCCCTGATAGTGGTAGGAATAAACTTTTATTCATCATGGTGATACAGCGCGTTCAGCCGCATGTGTTGGACCCTGGAATTCGGACGAGGACTTTGAGGAGCACGAAGCTCAAGCACCGCGTCCACATCAGCTGAACATTACTGATTGGTAAAGTATTAATAAACACTAATAGATAAACTTATTATATCGTGTTCACTGCAGAGTAGAACAATGAGCTTATGCTGTCGCTTTTGTTTAGGTGTTCATGTGGGAATTGTCAGCAGATGTGGGGTGGAGGACGGGGCGGAGGCGGTGGAGTGGGCGAGGGGGTCGAGAGAAGCGCTTTCTGCTACGTCAGACGTGTCATAGGTGTATCTGCCACGTCATCGTTGTAGCAGTTTTAGTTCATGTCATGTGAGAGGTTGGCAGAAATACGCTGCAATTTGTTAAAAAAAAACACCGAATCAATCTAAAAAACACTTCGGTGACAAATACAAGGCCCATACGTCACTCTTGAAGGTAGAAAGCTCTGAAAAGTTGATTTTGCGTGAGCTGGACCCTTTAAGCAAATTTTCAAAATAATCAAGCATTCTCATTTAACTGGCATCCTTCGCCGAATTAGGCAAAAAAAAAACAAACAAACAAACAAACAAAACACGTCGCTCACACCTAAAGCTGAGTACCTTGAGATGTTTGAGGGCCTGCTCGGTCACCAGCTCCTCCTTCTTGTTCCACTCCACAGCGTTCATGAGACAGGTCCAGAGCAGACCCATCACCACAGGCTCCTGCAGCTCGTTCTTCTTCATCTCCTCCTTCACGTACTGCACCATCTGAAGCAGCAGCACACACAGTTACACCAGACGCTTCTACGGATGCACTTTACTTTTCAGCACAGTGATGGAAAGGAAATATCATGGTAACTGGGATAGCCACGAATAAAGACATTTTACTTCTTTCCACAGTATAACCAGGAGCTGTAGATGGAAAAGTCGAACTGCAGATGGCGCTATTTCCCAAACAATGTGGTTAAGAGAACTGAATCAAAACCATGGATCTATTAAAATACTTTTCCGGGCTATTAGAAGTTCTGGATTATAAAACACACTGTCATTAAATGGTCTATTTTCGAACTTTTTTCACAAATAAACCGCACCGGACTTTAAAGGAAACACAACAGTTGAATGGGTCAGTGGGACTTTGTTTGGCGCGTTCACGGTGACTCTGGGCTTTGTTCAGTTGTGGCGTGTAGTCAGTGTTGGGAAGGTGACTTTTAAAATATATTCCCCTACAGATTACAGATTACATACCCCAAAATGTAGTTTGTAAAGGTAATCCATTAAATTAGTTAAAGTGAGTAATGTAATCTGAATACTTTGGATTACTTGATTTGCTGTAGAGAAACAAAGACGAGGAAATCTTCACATAAGAAGTTTTGTCTGATAAAAGAAAATGAAAAAGCCCAGACTTTACTGAACCAAATTAAAAATATTACTGATAGAAGAGGAGGAGACACGGTCTGCACAACATGGTTTAGTCCTGGTTTAGACCTGGTTTAGTCCTGTTAAATCCTGTTTTAGTCCTGGTTTAGACCTGGTTTAGTCCTGGTTTAGACCTGGTTTAGTCCTGGTTTAGCCCAAAATGTGAAAACAGGAACATACATACATAATCAATTTATTTCAACAAAATAACTGTAATCCAATTACCTCTCACTGAAACAGTAACTGTAACTGAATACAGTTACTCATAATTTGTACTCTGATTACGTAACGCCGGTACATGTAATCTGTTACTCCCCAACACTGCGTGTCTGCTGCTGGAGCGTGTTCGCAGTGACTCAGTTGTTCAGTCGTGTCTAGAAGTGGCACATTGCACTCGCTTTTTCAGGTTTGTTCCTCCGTTCCGTTCCTCGTCGGCGTGGAGTGATGAGTGTGTCTGTGGGTGTTTTTCTCTGTGCGGTCGCTGTCTGCTCCATGTGTGTTTGTGTGTTCTGCGAGTGGTGCGGCTTTGTAGTTCACTGAAGTCGTGTTGGGACACCCCAGTGGATTCATGTATAGGCGCTCTGGATTGCGGGGCGCGCAGTCGTTTTTTGATTGTGTTGGAGGTTTAAGAGCGCGTCTAATAGCCCGGAAAATATGGTAAGATCAAAACCTGAAACATGTCAAGATACAGTATGTGCAAACGACACACTGGAGCTATTAAAAAAGAACTGAACTGAAGACTGGACCTGGACCAACACAACGCTACAAAAAGAATAAATTCCAAGTATTAAAAGTGTAGTTTTTGTTAAATTATCTGTTGTTATTGTAGTTTACATGCACGGCTGCTCTCACACTGGTGTTGTACCTCTTTTATGGGCGGGCTCTGGTCCAGTCGCTCCTGCAGCTCCTTCTGAAGCTCTTTGCGAGTGCCCAGACTCTGCTGCACCCTCAGAAAGTCCGACAGCTCTTTGAGTCCGGCCTCGGTGAAGTATTTACAGAAGTGATCCACGCTCTGCTTCGACGGAGGGAACAGCTCCTGAAACAGAACACAAGAATATTCACATGGTCAAGCATTTTACCATTTAAATTTCTCCAAAACAAAACTTATTGTTCATTTTCAGATTTCTAAAAACTACTTGTGTGGATGAAAACACTCAGCATGTGCTCATCAACTTCAGTGTGATGGCTTCATGGAGATTAGCTTCATGGAAATAACACAGCTCATTTTTATATTATATAGAATGTGCAACAAAAATGTGATGTTAGTAAAATTCAGTCTACAGGACATTATTGAGTGTTCGTATGGACCACTGTGTGTTAATGCAGCTGCTGAGAGGAGCACAGTCTACTTCATGTAGTATGGATATAACACAAGTAAATCTGTTGGAGCTGCTTTGAAATTCTAGTGTGTGTGTGTGTGTGTGTGTGTGTGTGTGTGTGTGTGTGTGTGTGCGTGTGTGTGAGTGTGTGTGTGCGTGTGTGTAACAAAACGACTCCACCACTGTGCAGCTGGAGCTTAAAGTTTTTCTTTGACCAAAGTAAAAACCATTGCGATAAAGGTAGGCTGACCAGATTTTCAAAATAAAAAACTGGGACATCCCTGGTTTGTGGTGGTTGATAATAATAAAATTGTGAAGCGAGTGCGTAATTCAGGAAAATTGTTATACTCGGCACTAATGTGAGTCAGCATATTCACATTTTCTTTGTGTTTTGGTCATTTTTAAGCAGCTTTTCTGTATGTTACCTAAACAAATGACAATGTATGCCTCTCTTTACTGTTGGCAGGGATCAGATTGGTCAAAAATAGGAACACCAAGGACATTTCTTGTATAAATCTGGGACAGATCACTGGTGTTGGAGAAATCTGCTGGAGCAAGGGACACAGGGCTCTGTCAGGGAACTGTCCTGGGTTTACCCAGGACAGTTCCCTGAAATCTTGTCACTCTAGGTAAAGGAGCTGTATTCAGCCGGTGTTCTTACAGTCTTAACAATTTTTAAAGGGGTATTATGACCACATCTGAACCTGGGTTACCAGAGCCTTAAACTGTGGATAGAAGACACATACAGGACACACAGAGTATTTGGACAGGGAACAAATTCACTCACTGAGCTGCAGAGGCCGCACTAGCACTGATTAAAACAACTGAATTTTTGTATTGAAAGTGCATCCCAAATGTGAGGCTCATTGTACTTAAAATCTGAATGTTCCATGTTTAAGTTTGAGAGGAGCTCCTGACTCCTGTCAGAGACAAGCTGTGGTCAAGTCTCACCAGAAGTCTCTTGTCCAGACTGGACTTCCTTAAAGAGGACGTGACGGAGTTTGCGTCTTTCTCTGCGATCCACGACTTGAACATCTTGACAGCGAAGCACGCAGAGATGCCTACAGCACAGAGACAGTTAGAACCAGATCACACACACACACAGACACAGAGACACACACGCAGACACACACAGACACACACAGAGACACACACACAGACACAGAGACACACACAGAGAGACACAGAGACACACAGAGACACACACAGACACACACACAGAGACACACACACAGAGACACAGACACACACACACACACAGAGACACACACAGAGACACACAGAGACACAGACACACACACAGAGACACACACAGAGACACACACACACACAGAGACACACACAGAGACACAGAGAGACACACAGAGACACACACACACAGACACACAGAGACACACCACACACACACACACACAACACAGACCACACACAGACAGACACACAGAGACACACAGAGACACACACAGACAGAGACACACAGACACACACAGACACACAGAGACACACAGAGACACACACACACACACACACACAGAGACACAGACACACAGACACACACACACAGAGACACACACACAGACACAGACACCACACACACACAGAGACACACACAGAGACACACACACAGAGACACACACACACAGACACAGCACACACACACACACACACAGAGACACACAGAGACACACACACAGACACAGAGACACACACATACAGCCACACACAGACACAGAGACACACAGAGACACACACACACAGACACACACACACAGACACACACACACATAGACACACACACACAGACACAGACAGAGACACACACAGACACACACACACACACAGACACACACACACACACAGACACACAGACACACACACACACACACACAGACACACACACACACACACACACACACACACAGACACACACAGACACACACAGACACACACACACACACACACACAGACACAGACACACACAGAGACACACACAGACACACACACAGACACACACAGACACACACACACACACAGAGACACACACAGACACACAGGACTCTTTAGCCCCTCTGACCCTCTTTGACCACGCTCTCTGTGAACAGGCTGCTGAGGATGGCGGGGGGGCAGGATGTTGGAGGCGAGCAGGATCCCCGTCAGCGTGGCCAGTTTGGTTTGCTCCGATTCAGTGAAGGCCTTCAGGAAGAGCAGCAGCTGCACAAGAACACAGATCACGTTAACAAGACTCCTCTGATACTGTAGTCAACCGTAAAATCTAACAGTCACTTTTATTAAAACTGCAAAATAATAAATAAGCAACCTATAAAAAATTAAGACAACCAGATAATTTTTATATGTAGAATATTTGTGGAGATGTTTTAATATTTATCAGGGCTCAAGTCTCCTCCACTGAAGTGTTAATTTTATTTATGTACATTTTTAGCATATTGTCACTCAAATACACCCACAACTCACTTTAAAAGCCCTTAAATATTTATACATTTTAGCAGAGGGTGACCAGATTTTCAATATCAAAAACTGGAACACAAAAACTGGGTTGGCTGGTAATAATAAACTGTTGAAACAAGTGTGTAATTAAGAAAATTGTTCTGCACTCGGCAGTAATGTGAGTCAATATAGTCACATTTTCTTTGTGTTTTGGTCGTTTTTAAGCAGCTTTTCTGTGTTTTACATAAACAAATGACAATTTATGCCTCTCTTTACTGCTGGCAGCGATCAAATTTGTCAAAAATAGGAACACCTGGGTCATTTCTTGTATAAAACTGGGACAAATCCCTAGTGTTGTAAGTCTGTTGGGACAGGGGACACAGGGTTCAAAACTGGGACTGTCCCGGGTAAATAGGGACGTCTGGTCATCCTATTTTAGCACGACAAGAACCTCAGAGATACACAGTTTCCAAACACTGTTCTGCACAAAGAAATCTGTATCAAATGTGTATGATTCCATTATTGTGGTACCTTTTTCACCTCCTCCTCAAAGGCCTTTTCCAAATACTTGTACCTCCGGATGAGTTTGTTGAAGACCTGTGGGAGAGCTGGCATTATTATAACTTATTTCAACTATAAAACTATATGTTTTTATAACATATAAGAGCTTTGACAGTGACATAGACCTGGGCGTAGAGGCGCAGTGCAGCGTGGCTCTCCTCTGCACTAAACACACAGGCCGACGTCACCTTGGAGTCGTCCCCCTCATCGATACGACTGCCCCCTGGAGCTGAGGGAAAGAATAGCACCATAACATAAATAATACACTCAGAAAAGCAAATATATATTTTCCATCAGTTAAACCTGATTTGATTTATATTTAAAGTGCCACTAAACTGTGTATATGGTGTTTAAATAGCATTATCTCCTTGTCCTTTTTGGTCATTTTAATGCTAACTAGATTTGCAGCTTTCTGGTCAAAGAGTGAGTGTGCGTTGTCTTCAGTGGCCACTGCAATTTCAAGTACTACATGACATCACACAGGACTGCCATGAGGAAAGCCAGATGTTTCTAAAACTTCTCAAACATCGGGCTACAGGGGTGGAGTTTGAAGTGTGGATACTTGTAAGAGCAATCACACTGTTCCGCAAATGTTTTGAAGATATTTTTATTTATATGAAGTTATACTACACAATGTAATAAGATTTAAATGGGTTCAAAAAAAACTGAATAATGCAAAGTCAGTGTCAACAAACTTCTTTACAGGGTTCTGGGCCTTGAGGAAGGGACTTAAAAAGAATTGTGGACTTATTGTGCATTGGGTTGCATATACATATATGTATGTATATACCTAAACAAACAGTACATCTCTGCACACTCCCTGCTACTCACTTTTTTGGCAACGCCGCCTTGCCTAACCAATTTTCTGTGGAAAACACTGATTACTTATTGTTTTTCCTTGATTAAAACTTGAGTACCGTATTTTTCGGACTATGAGGCGCACCTAAAACCCCTTCATTTTTCACAATAAATGCCATAAGCACCAAAGCGCTGGACCATGATACCTGCAGATCCCTATAGCTGACAATGTGGAGCTGACAAATCCGATGGGTATCACTGATTGAAACGGTTGTTATGTTATTTGAGAGGGAAATGTTTAACAGCAGAACTCAGATCACCTCCAGCAAAATCAGTTCTTTATGGTCAGATTGCATTAAAACACAGCTCAGATTAAAGTCGAACTTGAGTAACAGAGTTTCAGACAGAGCAGTGCCTCCGGAGACGTACCGAGCATGCTCCCTGCGATGAGGATGTCGAAGAGCGTGTCTGCATATCTCCTGTAGTCCACTCGAGATCCTGTCACGTCTAAGAACTTGGACACGGCCTCCAGGTCCCGGCCGCACTCGTTCAGACCCGCAACAATCGTATCTCTGAACACTGTGGGCTCGAACTTCTCCTTTTCATCTGCAACACAACGACACAACACAGAGGTACAAATGAACAAGAGGCAATAGTTTTGTACAGCTGTTGTGCTGTAGGATAATGCTGTCAAGATGTTTTGTGTACATGCATTCAACCATTCGACCAAATACACATTTTTACATAAAGATAATGATATTTAAATGAATTAATAAAGTGAGAGTAGATTTGTAATTAGTCACTCGTGCATTTGACTCTTTCATTGCCAGCATTATTTTTGTAGAAGCAACCTTTAGCCTACCAAAGTGACCAGACGTCCCTATTTACTTGGGACAGTCCCAGTTCTGAGCCCTGTGCCCCCTGTCCCAGCAGATTTATCCAAAACATGTGATTTGTCCCAGTTTTATACAAGAAATATCCCAGGTGTCCCAATTTTTGACCAATTTGATCCCTGTCAACAGTAAAGGGAGGCATATATTATCATTTGTTTAGATAAAATACAAAAAAGCTGCTTAAAAATGACCAAAACACAAAGAAAATCTGACTATACTGACTCATGTTAGTCATGAATGGGCCGAGTGCAGAACAATTTTCCTTAATTACACACTCGTTTCACAATTTCATTATTACCAACCAACGCCAAAACAGGGATGTCCTATTTTTTTATTTTGAAAATCTGATCACCCTAGCCTATCAGTGCTTTTACTTATTAAAAAAAACCTTTGCAATCTATACAAAATGTGTATTCCAAAACAAAGGACAAAGTACATCTGCTGAACATGGACAGAGCTGCCCTCATGCAAAAATAATGTGAATATTTTGAAGTATGACATTATTGATATTTTGACCCTTATCGAGTCAATGATGCAATAAAGTTTTACATTATTGCTACTGTCTCTGTTAAATAAACTAATAAATAAACTTATGTGTTTCTTTGCTGTAAATACACAACAAAAATCTTGAATCTTCCACACCTCGACTGTAGTCACTTGTGGTTAACCTGCAAGCAACCCCATGACTAGAGATGTGCAAAAATATTTAAATATTGATATATATTGTATCGTTTAATGTGATGATACAGTATCGATATCGTGGGCTGCTGTATCAATATATCACCAAGAGTATTTTTAAGTATATTTTGCTAAATAATTTTGTTACAGCTACAGTTTTGTTGCTTGTTCCGAGAAAGGAAACTCATTTATGTGACACATTTGACATTTTCACAGTTTTGATGCTTAAAATATTTGTGTTTCATATGAACTTTGCACAAGAAGTGGTTTAACAAAGACTTTTAATGTCGTAGCCATGATTTAACCTTTATTTTTTATTGAAATGATTTGAAATGTATCGTATCAAATCAGAAGCTTACTGTGTTGAGATGTGTATCGTATCGGCAACTTCTTAATGATACTCAGCTCTACCATGACACTCATCAATGCACTTTTTCTCTGCTTAATTTGTCTTCACATTCCAGACGAAACCTTCCTCTGCCTTATGTCAACTGCAGCAGCAAAACCTCCTCCTCATCAATTATTCTCTACGCTCAAGTTATCCATTCCATCAAACATTTTTCACATCTCACTAAAGAGTCTGTTAAAGTGTCTAGTTGGTGTTTGTGAGTGTTTTCTGTAACTCTACTCACCCCTTTTCCTGGTCTTGAACCTCTGGCCTGTGAGCACTGGCTTCTGCTGCTTACCGGTATTCATACAAGTCCTGAACAAGACAGACCGTTATCACCGTTCAGTCCAATTTACTTTATTTATACAGCACATTTCATAAACAAACAGATCCCAAAAAGCTGCACAAATACATAATAACAACAATAATAATATCATGATGAAACAAATGCTCAGATTTAATCATACCAGCCTTAAAACAATAAAACCGGTAAATTAAAATAAGAGCAAAAACCATAGAATAGCAATAAATAAAGAAAACCAATAAAATAAATAAAAGACATGACTTAAAGGTTGTATGGAGGATTTTTTTTTGTTTCAAATTGTCAATGATAGATTATAGAGATGCAGTAGCCTTGTAATTATGATGACCAAAAAAAAGAGAATAAAAATTCATCAACTCTGGACGTGGTGGGGCTAAACATTTGCCAATAGATAACGACACTGCCTCGTTATCTGTGAGCTGACAGGCTGTCAATCAATCTCCCTACGTTTCTAGTGTAACTGACTTGCCTGCGCCGCCGGTACGTGGTTTACGTACGACTGTCACGCAGTCCACAGACGCAAGACGCACAGACGCTGTTTACTCCACCAACGCAACAGTTCTTAGCGGCTTTTTTTGACCTATATCTTCCTCGCAGTTCGCACAAAGTTTGTTGCAATGGCGACAAGAATCCAGGAGCAGTTCGCCGCAAAAGAAAGTCCGTTTTTGAGGTCGCTGAAAGAAGAAGACAAGGGGAAAAGCAGCGAAGCCAAACTAAGGTGATTCTTGTAGATTCATTCCAGCGATGGCGCGACTGAAGCAGACGCAGGGTCTAAAGACTGAAGCACTGGTCCACAAATTACTCCTGGACAGGAAACTTCTGCTTATTATGAAAACGTACTTTATTTCCAAGAGCTGAGACAAACGTTTTTCAGGACACGAAAGCGATATCCTATGTCTGAAAACGTAATTTTCAAGGCAAAGAAAGAGTCCGCTTGCTGCTGCGTGTTGTAGCTAGTTCATTCGCACTGAATCTCCGCACAACCTTCTCTGCACCCCTTTCCTGCTCCTGTCCCCGCTGCCCGATCCACTCTTCCCCCTGCTCCTCACTTCTCCGGGCACGGAATCTCCGCGCACCGCTCCCTCTCCTCTCTCTCTCCTCTGCTCCCTGCTCCCTGTCCCTGCTCCTCACTTCTCGTCCGCGCACGAAATGTCCGCACACCCGCTCCCCCCGCTCCTCACTTCTCCGTCTTGTCTAACCAACACTGTAGTTAGTTGTTTACAAGTCATGTGCAGCACCGGCTGTAAACAAACCTGTTTCTGGCGTAAGGAGGAGGCGGGAGGAGGTGTTTCTACGTAGGAGCTGTGGGGGAGGGGGGTGGTTTCACGCATGCGCAACATTTGAAAAAGGACAAACAGTCGCTGGATTTCTCGTTCCTTGGAAAATCCTCTATACAACCTTTAAGACGAGACTTAAAGCTCTCCACTGTGGGGGCTGTTGGGAGTAAATCTGGAGAAGGTCCGAGATGTAACGTGGGGTCTGTCCATTCAAAGCATTAAAAACAAACAATAAAATCTTAAGATCAATTCTGAAATCAACAGGAAGCCGGTGTAAAGACGCTAAAATCGGCGTAATGTCCTCTCTTCTTTTAGTTCCTGTTAAACGTTGTGACGCAGAGTTTTGGACGAACTGTAGTCGGTAAAGTGCGTTTTGTGAGAAGCCGGAATAAAGTGCGTTACAGTCGTCCAGGCGTGATGAAATAAAAGCGTGCATGACTTGGTCTAAAAGTTTAAGAGATAAAAAAGGTTTGACATAAAAGCCGCAAATGAAAAAACTTAATTTTAAAACCACATTGATCATTTTTGAGGTGGGATCTGCTGCTGTTTTTACCTTTTGTAGGTAAAAAAAAAAGAGAAAAATCCCGCACACCGTCTTACTTGCGAATTGTGAGATTTATTAGGACAAACTGTGCAATGTTTCGGCACTAGGCCTTCGTTGCTGTTTACCTGACAAAAGCCTCGTGCCAAAACATTGCACAGTTTTCAAGTAAGACGGTGTGTGGGATTTTTCTCTATGTTCTTGTGCTGTTCCCTCTCCTCCGACGCACCGTTGTCAAGTAATTGATGTGTGAAGTTCTCATTCTTTTATATCGCTGACCTATATCTGTGAAAAGCGCTATATAAACAAACTTTACTCACTTATTTACATCACGCACGCCGTTTTTATTCTAACATGTAGAAATGAGACAAACGCAAACTGCTTGATTCGAGTAACCTGGCTCACACGAGATCTGTGAATCACTCTGAATTCTGAGTTCTACATAATTATCTGTAAACGGCTGCAGGTGAAAGTGATCGAGAAAAGGCAGAACATTAGGGTGACCAAACGTCCGTTTTTCCCCGAACATGTCCGTATTTTGCGTCCTGTCCTGGGGGTCTGGGTTTTTTTTTTTTAATAAAATGATGCAAATGTCCGGGTTTTCAGTACCGTTCATTGGGGGCATTAAACTGAGCGTCTCTCGTAGCGTCTGTGACTCAAAAGGAGCGAGACACAAACAGTCGGTAAGTCTGCAACATACCGAAGCACAAATGCGCATTAACAACGACTTGTACAAGAAAGTCTCCGTTTTCCATCCTGGTCGGGACAAGTGGGAGGCCACATGCACAGGTTGCGAAGCGAGATTACAGTGTCCCTCATTTACCGCGGGGGTTACGTTCTAAAAATAACCCGCGATAGGTGAAATCTGCAAAGTCAACTTTATATTTTACAATTATTATATCTGTTTTAAGGCTGTAAAACCTCAGCACAAACTTTATACACTTTTCTCAGACAGGACAGGTGCAACCCTTTTTATTTCCTTTTTTAAACTTATTGCTGCTGTCGTCATGTTATTTTCCTCGTTCTTTATGTAACGAACTGAAGATTCATTTATTCCATAATGGAGCCCGACAGAGCAGAGTCCTGCACAGCTCCATTTTTGGAGACCCTCAGTACAACACCGCACCCGCGCAGTACAGGACCGCACCTGCCCGTTAACTAGAGATTATATCAAACTTTTGCGCTGCTACGACATGGACTGAACCAAGAACAAACCAGGACTAACCCAGGACTGATTCCAGGACTGAAGAGGAGAACTAATCCACTACTGAACTAGGACTAAAACAGGACTAAACCAGAACTGAAACAGGACTAAACCAGAACTGAAACAGGACTCACCGTCAGGACGGGCTTGGAGGTGACCGCAGGAGAAAGGACCGGCTCAGCTCCGCACCTCACAGAGGTAAACGCAGCAATTGCCCGATCGCGCTTTGTGGACAAACTGCTCAGTGTTTTCTCTCTTAAGTAGAAGATTAGTCCTGGTTTAGACCTGGTTTAGTCCTGACTCACCCGTGGTGAAGGTGAATCCCCCCCAAGGTGTCTGGGTTTTCACAAATGGAAATATGGTCACCCTAAGAACATCATGGTGAATATTTGAATCTGACTGGTCGAATTGTCAAAAGAGCAGAAGAACAAAAAAAAAATCAAAGTATTGTTAAATCTAGTTGAGAGAAAAGCACAAATGCACAAACCGCTTCCCTCTTCACATTTTTCACAAACTAAATTAAGAATGTCCATCAGCGTCGCCATGTTTGTTTTGGTTCTTTTGGGAGCTTCACCTTTCACCCAAACCACAAAACCGCTCCGTGATTGGTCCAGAGTCCGACCCAGCGATGGACAGAGCCTGATCACGACAACGGGACCTGACCCGGGACCAGGAGGAGTCTTGAGAATTTGTCACGAGTATTCATTGTGCGCAAGTTTATAAAAGCAGTTTGACAATTTGCATCAGTCAAACGTGTAAAACAACATGATTTCACGTCCTGTTTTGAAGTTGTTTTTGGAAACTTTAGTGCATTAGAAAAGTTATAAAGTTTTAGACGAGGTTAAACTGGTTTGACAAGAGGCTTCGCTTGAAAACTAAAGAATTCATAGCCCAAGAAATTTGAACATTTGATGCCTCAGATTGAGTTTTTTCTGATCTATGTTATAATATAGATTTTTCCTCATCACAAACAGACCTGGAGTTGTGTTTTGTTTTGTTTCATCACACGTTTAACGCACAAACCCTGCACGTTTAGGCTGATCTCTTTGTCTCTTTGTGAAACACTTTGTTCCAACCTTGTGATGTGGTCATTCAGGAAGTGCTCCACTGTGTTTTTAAACTCCATAAACCTTCATTAGAACCATTTGGATAATTTCAGCCCTTAGATTTGCCAATTTCTTCTGAACTAAAGGTAAAAGGAGCTGTTATCTTGAAAATAGGAACTGAGCATTTTGAGCTTTGGAGATGTAGAGAAGTAATAAAGAGTTACTCAAACATGTGTGAATGAAATAAATGCAACTCCAGGTCTGTTTTTGAGGAGGTAACAGCATTAAAACACGACTTAAAGCTCACAAGAGTCAGTTTTGTGTAATCTATAGAACATTTAAGCATCGTCCTGGCTGAAATTAAAGTAAATAATAAATAATTATAATCTTTTCTTACCAGGGATGGGGTCTTGGAGCTGCCTGTGAATGAGTTGCACAGATTTGGTGGCTGTGACCCTCGCGTTCTGCTCTATAAATGAACGCTGGACTCTCCGCCTGCCCCCGGGACCCGGCTCCGGTTACACACAGCGATTCTCAGGCCCATTCACACACATGGTCACGTATAACCATGTCAAACAGGCTGTGGTTTCAGGGATTACTACACTTTCTAATCCCGCTTGTCTGGACTCCTGCGTCATTGTACACCTGCGTTATTAAAGGGGCTGGAGCTGAGTTTAATGTGTTCGTAACGTCAAGTGGTGTTCGGAAAAGCTGATAAATGAGAACAAAAATCAGACTAAATTCTAATCGATTTATTTTACAGCTTTTCTCAGGTAATAATAAACACAAAAACTACTGACAGAGTGACCTTTTTCATCCAGTCAGGCACACTGGTAAAAAAAAATCATGGGAACCCAACTGCTCCAGACACTTGACGCTCTTCTGTCATGGTGCATTTTCTAGAGAGACAAAAAAGGAAATAGCAGAAATTTGAGATCTCTAAGAAAACAACCGGCTGACACTTGTTTCTGTCATGAGGCAATCACGGCGACCGAAAGGACTAAGTGGGCGGGACTAAAACATGTTCCTGACTCATGATTGGTCAAGGTATTTTCGGCAGTAGATATAATCATAGAACTTCATGTAAGATGTGGTGAGTTAGAAGAGTTTAATTAGACACATTGGAACATTTCACACGTATCAATGTCGTCTCCACAAAGAGGTTGCACAGTTTAAAAAAACTTGTGGAAACTGAACTGCAAACCTTCAAGTTATTGTCAGACGTACACTGTGAAATATTTTCAATGGTTTCTGTTTTGGTAATTGAGTATTTGTGCTCCCGTTGTTTGTTTCTTGTTTCTTTTGTGCATATGCAGTCTGGTACGCGAGCCCTGGAGCAGAGAGCGCTGGACGGAGGCTGGGCGTCGGATCACTCTAGGATTGACCAGTCAACCTTCTGCCCCCACCAATCCGCAGATGCCACCTGTGGGGTGCAGAGTATAAAAAGGACAATTTGGGGAGACTGGACGCCTGCGTGCTGGTTGTTTCTTTCTTGTTGTCACATTTTTCGTTAAGATGCCGGCAGATGCCTTTGTTAATTGATTTTGTTTGAGAAACCTTGTTTGTTAGTAGTACAACTTTAGTTAGGTTCTTTTTTGCATTGTACTTAGTTAGGGTTCTATAGTTACCTCCGCCAAAAGGTTATGTTTTTGCCGGCATTTGTTTGTTTGTCTGTTTGTTTGTTAGCAACATAACTCAAAAAGTTATGGACCGATTTTGATGACATTTTCAGGATTTGTTGGAAATGTGAAAAGGAAGAACTGATTTCATTTTGGGGGTGATTCGGAAGAAATCCTGGATTCTGGATCACTTTGAAATTTTTGTTAACATTGTGGTAAATGGGGCCAAAAATTTTGTTTCTCAATATCTCGGTTAATTATTGACCAAACCCCATGAAATTTGACTCAGGGATGGACAATGGGATCCTCTTTCATATTCCAAATTGAAAGATACGAGACAAATATTTATGGAAAACACAATTAATATGAGGGGGACTGTAGTCCTTGGCGGAGGTCTGCGCTCTCTGACTGCTTTTCTGGTTAGTAATTAATTTTCGTTTAAAGCCCTTTTATTTCACCACATTCTATTCTTGTTTTGTTTTTTTCTCCCTACACTGTAAATCAATATATCCACAATTTTTAGTTTAACCTTTAACATCTTGTTTTTTTTTATTGTTACTTCCCTTCTCTTGTAGCAAAGGGAACATAACAGTTTCACTCAGCCCCAGCTCAAACTGCATGACCAAATCACAGGGTTTAAATGTTCACAGCTCGTGTCTTGGAACGACTTCAACAGTACGAAACCCTCATGAGAGGTGACCGGGTTTCAAACAGGTTTGATATTCTTGCGACCTACAATTGCAGATTAATTGCCGAGGTATTAATCGGTTCTTGTTACCCCATGTTTACTGCACGAAGCACGACACACGATTAAGTAAAAGAAATAAAATCGGCTCAAAAAGGGTCAAAAATCCCATAACGTACTCAAGGTTTTAGAGGATGAATATTATAACCAAGTGATCTACAGCTCAAAAGATCAAATGGTAAACAATGGAGCAAAAATAGTGTTTTATGGAGCTCAATGTGGAACCAACATAGAATTATTTTTCACAACGGGACCAATCTCACACTAGTTTAAAATCCAGCTCCAGCACCTTTTAAAGGTTGTATAGAGGATTTTTTTAAGGGAAGAGAAATACAGCGACAGTTTTTTTTACAAATGTTGTGCATGCGTGACACCACCTTCATCCTCCACAGTTCCCTCAGTAGAAACACCTCCTCCTGCCTCTTTACTCTAAAAATCACGTTTTTTTTTTTACAGCCAGTGCGCGTTCAGAATTACTGTTGAAATGACCTGTCTAGAAATAATTTAGCAACCGACGCGTCAGTCCGCTTCACTCGCGCAATCGCTGGAAGGAATCTCCAAGAATCACCTCGGTTTGTCTTTGCTCCTTTTCCCCTTCTCTTCTTCTTTCAGCGACCTCAAAAACTGACTTTCTTTTGCGGCGAACTGGTCGTGGATTCTCGTCCGCCATCACAACAAACTTTGTGAGGAAGTGACAGTTTGAAAAAGCCTCTAAGAACCGCTGCATAAACCACGTGATCCCTGCATCCCGACGAGTCAATTACACTAGAAACGTAGGGAGTTTGATTGATGACCTGACAGCCAATAGGTAAAGAGGCAGCCTCGTTTTCTATTGGCTGATGTTTATCTGGCCTCAACACGTCCACAGTTGATAAATTTTCATTCTTTTTTTTTTTGGTCATCATAATCAGAAGGCTGCTGTATCTCTGTAATGGTATTTTAAACTTTCATTGACAATTTGAAACAAAAAAAAAATCCTCCATACAACCTTTAATGTTTAAAGGCAATTATTTTTAATGGCAGGTTGAATGAGAGATTGAGAGGTGGAAACTATTCGCGCAAATAATAACTGACCCCAGCGCTTTGGGACATCAGAGAGAACTCAACCTGTGTCTGTAATCTGCTGAGTTTACATTCACGCTGTATCAAGTCTGTCCATCTGCACGCTGTCTCAAACGACAAACAAATAAACGAATAAACATACAGTGAGCAATAAAAACATACAGTGATATCAATTTGGATTTGCAAAACAAGCGAGAGCACACGTACACACTCTGTACACTGAGCATGTATGTGTGTATCAGCCATCGCAGGTTTAAAATAGACTTTCCATTATTTAGTTCTGGGAAGTCCACTCAAGCGCTCAGCCCAGTTATTCACATCTGTGCGTTTTATAAATAGGCTGAGAGACTTATAATTAGAAATGTAATGTAGCGTAAGGATTTCTCTGTGGTTGTAACTTGTATTTTATTCCAGGCTGCAAATCTCGCTGTGTTCGCACCTAGTCTGTGTGTGTATACCGTTTACTGTTGTTGTGTCTCTGGGCAAGACACTTAACACACAATACCCACTCCAGTGTGGCGCGTCCAGCATTAACACTGACAAATGTGAGTGCGGCGCTGTGGCCACGCGGGTTTAACGAATGGATCAAGTTAAACCAGTTAAACGCTTCCAATCTCAGGAATTAGAGAGACCAGAAGATTGGAATCAGCAAACGGATAATGCTCAAAAAAAATGTCTTCACACAAAAAAAGTGATGAGAATGATGAAAATATTGACCATCAGCTGGTTCAGACTGGGAGGAAACCACACTGGGTAAAATAAATATACAGTGTGTGGATATGTTTTTATGTTTTTAAAATCATCAGACTTAAAATTTCATGATCTACTAACTTTAAAACAGCTCAAATTATGTTCAGGGCGTCTATCAACTCTCTTCCAACTATTTTAAACAATTTATTTTCAGATCAAAATGCTCATCATAACTACAAACTTAGAGGTAATAAGAAATTTTATCAGCCAAAATTTAGAACAACTTTAAAGTCAATGTGTATCTCATTGCGTGGAGTTAATCTTTGGAACAGATCATCAGAAGAACTAAAAGTGTGTAGGAGCCTGGTACAGTTTAAAAAGCTATTTAAAAGAGAAACAATGAAAAAAATACGTGGATGAGAGACAGTGATGCACAGAGCTGAGGTCAGGGGGAGGGAGGTGTAGGGTCACAGTGGGACCAGTGTGTGGATGAGTGTGTGAATCTTTGTTTTGTCTTGTCTTTTCATGTGTGATATACTAAGTTGAAGTGTTGTTCTGTCAAGTGTGAGAGGGGACTGGAAATATAAAAGCTCAAAATCATGGTTGTATCTGCATTTGTATTGTTATGTTGTTATGTGAATTGTATGTGCAGGTTTGAACGAACAAACAAACTAACTAACCAACGAACCAACTAATCAATGAAGGAACGAACCAAAAAACAAACCAACCAACCAAACAATGAACGAACAAAACAACCAACGAACCAACCAACCAACGAACCAACCAACCAAAGAACCAACCAATGAACCAACCAATGAAACAACCAACCAACCAACGAACCAACCAACCAAAGAACCAACCAACCAACCAACCAACCAACCAAAGAACCAACCAACGAACCAACCAACCAACGAAACAACCAACTAACCAACCAACCAACCAAGGAATGAACAAACCAACGAACCAACGACCCAACCAACCAACCAAAGAATCAACCAACGAACCAACCAATGAAACAACCAACCAACGAACCAACCAACCAACGAAACAACCAACTAACCAACCAACCAACCAAGCAATGAACAAACCAACGAACCAACGACCCAACCAACCAACCAACGAACCAACCAACGAACCATCCAACCAACGAACCAACCAACCAACGAACCAACCAATGAAACAACCAACCAACCAACCAACGAACCAACCAACCAACTAACGAACCAACCAACCAACTAACGAACCAACCAACCAACGAACCAACCAACCAACCAACCAACCAACGAACCAACCAATGAAACAACCAACCAACCAACGAACCAACCAACC